ATGGTGGAGGAAGTTTTAGGCTCAAGGGGGAAGCTTACTATTGACACAGGCAAATTGTTCTGGTGCCAAGCCTCTTTCTAAATATTTATATTCATAGGCAAATGCTACTCCCAGACCTATTAGTAAGCTTCTCTTAGCAATAAATGGCAGCAAATGAAGTGTTATGTATTCAAGGTGATGAAAATAATTGACAGATAAGTGACCAGTCCTCATCTGGACATTTATACCAATCCCTCTAAGGTGTAGAGATTATGGCAGAAGAGGAAGAGGAAAGAATATGAGTGCCAGAAGAAAGAGAGAAGGTAAAATACTGCCTTTTCCATAAATCCCTACTGATGGATGCTGGGGGAGGGGCAGACACTGTCTTCAGTTGTATACCCATCAAGGAGTCCACCAGGCTCCGGTAAATAATTCCAAACCCATGGTCACAAAGATGACCCTGGTTAAAGTTGGTAAGTTCAACAGAAAAACAATGTTTGCAAGTGAACTGTCAGCAGGAGTAGGGGCTAACAGGGGTGGGAGGGAGCTTAAAAGCTAGGGCTGGTGAGATGGCTCAGTGGTTAAGAGCATTGCCTGCTCCTCCTAAGGTCCTGAGTTCAATTCCCAGCAACCACATGGTGGCTCACAACCATCTGTAATGAGATCTGGTGCCCTCTTCTGGCCTGCAGGCATATATGCAGACAGAATATTGTATACTTAATAAAATAAATAAATATTTTTAAAAAAAAAGGTGTGGCTATAGCACCAGAACACACTTTAATGCATGCATGAAACTATCAATGAACAAATGCAATAAAAGCTAAAGAACACAATAAAAACACCAAATGACAAAGTTCTCTATAAACACAGTAGTTTTCACTCCTGGCCCTTCACAGGCTTTATCAGTAGAGAGTCTTACGGGATTAACCACTACACTGAAAGGGCCAAGACTCTTTTCCAAGAGTGCTCACAGGAGCATTCTCAACACGTTTTAAGATCCTACTAAAATGGTTTTTGACCTCCTTTGGCCAACAGCCATTTAAATCAATAATATACGATAAGCTCCTGAATGTTTTAGCAAATGTGATCTGGTGTACCTAAGTTCCGACTCAGTTTACGAAACTGTATGGTCATGTTAGCAACACATTATAAAGCGCTAGTGATGTGAGAGGGCTACCTTTGCTGTTTGAGCCAGCATCGACTATATTCAACATAACTCTTGAATTTGTTAGTGTAATTCACGTAGAGAGTACTCTTCTTCTCGAATCCAGCAGCTATTCTTAGAAATTAAAGTTAACTGATTCTCATGAGAGGCACTGATATCTAAAATGACCACAGAATCACTTACTGAAGGTAAATTGAAGCTTGTACGGTCTTATTGCTCTGTCTTTACAAATTAATTACAGAAGTCATAGTCAAGGAATATAAAAGCAGATTATATACATTTATATGCCTATGTATAAATCTGTTTCGGCCTATGAAGAAATCTTCTCTGGGCTTGCTTAGATCATACATACATATGCACCCCACTCTAATTCTTATGTTAATACCTTAATCTTAAATGCGATGGTGGGGCTTTCAGAGGTTAAGATGACAAGAAAATGAGATGATTTTCCTGCACTCTACAAGGGCATAGCAAGGGGGGCATCTTTTCCAGGAACCAAAATATATGGTGCTTTGAACTTGGAGCTTTCTAGACTTCCACACTGAGTCTTTGGATTTAAGGCTTCATGCAATTACAAAGCCAGAACTAACCATAAGCTGGGAGGTTGCAATAGACAGTACAGCTATAACATCCTTCTACATGTTGCTTAGGATGACTATAAGAACACCAAGACTGGCAGTATAATTCAGTGGTAAAGTGCTTAGCCAGCATGTACAAGGCTCTGGGGTCAGTCTCCAGTGCCAAGGGTGAGAGATGGGGAGAGAGAGGAAGAACTCTAACTGGAATTTCCCTTAAGTCCAACCATGGGTTTTCCTGCAGTCCTTTTGGTCTTTAATACCAAAATGCATAGTTCCACAGCCACACTTTTTCTTTACCCAATACCTGAAATTCTAATTTCTATTTATATAGTAAAAAATTAGAACTATGCGTACACACATAGTAAGAAAATAGAGAACAAAGTTTAGCTTATGCTGAACACCACATTTTATCACTTTCCTGCTGACCATTAAAAAATAGAACCACTCATCTCTACATGCATTTATTTTTGTGTTGCTGGGGTTAGAGATGAGGCTCTTGCAATGTTGCACAAATTCTCTACCATGGAGTTATAGCCCCATCCCTACAGCTCCGTTACTCAATAAAAACAAGCAAATAAAATCCCAGGAAGACATAGGCAAACTTCTTTTTTTCTCCTGCTAGACTGATGATACTTACATTTCTTTGGAAAGATATTTTATTCCTATAAGACTTTTAGAAAGCTGATAATAAAAAAATCCTATAAATACGACAGAGCCTCATTCAATGAGACCAGAGACACAGTAAAGGGACCTTTAACAACGAACCACTTGCCTGATCCAGAAACTTGGATATGTGTGAGTTGTGGAAACCCAGGTATGTGCTGAAGCAAATGCGCTTGTATGATAAATTATATCCTGCTTGCCTATATCAGTAAATAAACTGGTATTTTCTAGGGTGCGTCTTCAGCAACTCAATGAGAATTTGACACGACCAAGGTTTAACGAGACTAAGGACTTGGTGGTGCTTGGGACTAATACTAGGTCTCTGGACTAATACTAGGTCTCAAGGACCCCAGTCACCCTGTAATCATCTAATGCACCCCTGAAACCCTCTTGTATTCTCAAGGCTATCCAAACTTTTGACACAACAGATGTACACAATGTTACCAAGACTATTCTGCCTCTCCTCTCAGAAACAATATATAACACTTTAGGAAATTATGAAAGCATGAACAGTCCCACACTACATGCGTTTTACTTAGTGGTCCTTACCTTTCTTCAGTTGGTATTACATTATGAACCAGTTGCTATGTAAGTCTTTCCCGGAACCTTTATATTCCAGTGTGCCAATTAGACCAGAATATCAGCACGCAGAGATTCTTACTGGTATGATAAAAGGAATATCCTTTAGGATATATTGCCTACAAGAAACTGCAGGTTGTACAGATCTGGGTGTAGTGTTATATGTTTATAATCCTAGCACTCTGGAGGCTGAGACAGGGGGATCACAAGTCTGGGGTTGGCCTGGGCTTCATAGTGAGACTATGTCTGAAAAATAGACATTGTTCATATACAAATGTCTCTGTTCAAACAACAAGGTAGATGACTGCTTCTATTATGTAGAGCAGCAATGGTTCAGGCCAGATGTCACTTCTTGGTAGCTAAGTCCAGCGTTGGCAGGGCATGGTCCTAGTGAGCAATGCCTCAGATCAAACGACCCAAGGATGGCTGTAGGGAGGAAGCTAAAACACCAGATATCTTAACGATGAAAGGGTTAGAGGAATAATGGAAGTAAGTTTACATCTGACCTCTGACTGGCTGGCTGATGACCTAGAGTGTACCAGGAAGTCCTTACCACGCAGGCAGACAGAACAAATGAGTGGCTTCCATGTCTAACAATGATACTGATCCAGGAAACATGAAACACTTTTTGTCTCTATGAAACAATCTGAAATGATTACTGGGGAATAATATAAAATGACTATCTTATAAAGAGAAGTACACTTCTTTTCCTCCACTGAAGAACGTTTAGGCAAAAAGCAATGGATCCTTGGAAGCACTGACAGGGCACCTTTTCCACGATCCCTTTAAATTCTCACAGGAGATCAGAAGGGTTCGACTTTCTCCTCTCTGAACTGCAAATGTGCAGGATACAGTGAAGGAGGCAGAGGTGGGTGGGTGTGGGCACCAAAAGGACTATAAAGACACCACATGGGAACCATAACGCTTTGACCTTAATTCAGGAAGAGACTGTTAAAATGGGTCAGATGTCTCTCGTTAATTGGCAGTCCTGTAGGTGAGCCAGAAGAAAACCTACAAAGCAGTAAGTGGTCAGAAGTGGGATTTTTTTTGTGCCCCACTCCCAAATACAGCTCAGTCACTCAAAAGGTACCAAGGCCCATGGAATGCCTTACAGAATTCCTTTACACTTATTACTCTCATAACATTACTGAAGACACCCTACCCGACACCCAATTCCCTCAAATCCTCTGCATCCTGGGACAGCCAAGTTCTTTCTAAACACTATCTTCATGTTACCTCTATGAGGTAGGTTGTATAATTCCACTTTTCACCCATAAATAAACTATGGCACATAGAGCCCGCGTGGCAAAGGTTTTCTAGAAAGTGAATTATCAGATCTTTGGATTTGGGTACTATTACATACTTCTACTCTACTGATATAGGCGACGCAAGAGACGCTGAGCCAACACAATCATTTACGACTCTGAGAAGACAGCAGTGTGGTCAGGAATGGAGTCTGAGGAAATGCCCTTTACTTCCTAGTGCTGTCAGCACATACATTCCTTTGAGAAGGAGACCAATCACATGATTAGAGAAGGAGTTGAAGATACAGTCTTTGTGGTCCCCACACTGCTGAGCCCAGAACAGTGTCCATCTTAACAAAGCACACGACCCAGGAAGCACTTACACCTCGCTCTTACTGCAAGTCCTGTGTTTTGTGAAGATTTTTATAGTTTCAACCAGATACATTTCTATGTTCTTGGTCCTGGACAATTCTGTATTATAATCAGTTCGTCTGTATAAAATGTAAATGGTATTAAAGCCAGGGTTTGAGGGAAACAATGCATCCGTTCAGCATCCATTGGTTGTATATATTTTGGGAAATTCAGATCCACAAAGGAAGCGTGCACTGTTGAGGAGACACTGAACAATGTTGGTGGCCTGGGTAACGGAGAGTCCAGAGTGTGCACTGTCAGAGATGATGGAAGCAAGGTTGGTGGCCTGGGTAACAGAGTCCCGAGTCCAGGAAACTGAAGACACTCAAAAGTTGACCCCCAGTTTCTATTAATGCTCTATAAATGAACATTTCCATTTGATACAAATATACAAATTTAAAATGTATGCAGTTCAGTATGGCCTACCAGTTTCAGAGTGTTTATGTGCCAGAAAATATATAGTCAATAAAAAAATACCAGAGAGGTGGGGACAAAAGCTCTCTGGATCTGTACAGCAAAAATGAACATCACTTCACTAGGTGGTGAGTTGTGGTGAAATGGAATTCCGTGACCGAAAAGTACTGGAAAGGCAGCAGGTCACAAATCTGGTGATGGAGGATAGGATGCAAAATAAGGCCCATTTTCCTGTAGAGAGAAGAAAAGACAAGGCCATTAAACAACAGGGCAATTCAAGAGGATGTGCAAGACAGGGACGTGTACTGAACGGAAAAGCGCCTGGGAGAGGCGCAACATGTGTGTGGCGCTGAGCAGTCTCACTGGGACGTGTCACAGCTGCTGTAAAGTATGGAGAAGCTACAGGATGACAATGGACTCCAATAACAGCATCGCTCCTTGAACATTCTAGGTGCTGGACTCCTTGTTTCCACTGCCCCTTAAGTTCTCACATGATGGCAGGAGATAGGTAACATTCTTGTTTTTACTGACAAGGAAAATGAAGAGCACACAGATTATATAATTCAACTCATGAACCTGCTAAGTAACAAGCTGAGCTTAAATTTAAAGAAAAGTTTGTCTTGACACTGGATTCTTGTTAGATGGCGTTACCCTCCCATTCTGATTCTCCATTTAGTTAGGGAACAATACAAATGATTTCGGAAGAATTTAGTAGCCGTCACTGTTTGGCAGCAGGCATCTTCAAGTCACGCCCGAGTGGCAAGGCTTATAACGATTACAATTCTCAGGCCATTTAGTTCCACGTCAAGATGGAAAATTAAATGCCAGAAGCTTAATGTCAAATGTTGAAGGCAACCAACTAGTGTAAGGAGAAATTCTTTGGCCCCCACTTTGGATAATCGTGGTTAAAAACAAGGCAGCTAACTTTATGGTAGGAGGATCCTAGATTAGATTTATGAGTTGTAAGACCAGAGTCTCACTTTCAGGAAAAATATTTCTTTGGCAAAGAACTTGTTTTTCAATAAGCCACAAACAGGAAATGCTTACCATTAAAATAAGGCACAGGGGGGGCGGGAGCGCACACGCCTTTAATCCCAGCACCTGCGCAGAACTCTGTGAGTTCGAGGCCAGCCTGGTCTACAAGAGCTAGTTCCAGAACAGGTTCTAAAGCTACAGAGAAATACTGTCTCGAAAATCAAAAATCAATCAATCAATCAATCAAACAAAAAGAAAAGAAAAAGGCACCTAGTGTTGGTGGTGCATACCTTTAATCCTAACACTTGGGAGGCAGAGACAGGTAGATCTCAGTTAGTTAGAGATAAGCCTGGTCTACAGAGCAAGTTCCAGGACAGCTAGGACTATTATGCAGAGAAACGCTGTCTCAAAAAACAAAAAACATAAATAAACAAATGAGCAAATAAATAATAAAAATAAGGTAATGCAGCAGTCAGGAGTGAAGAGAGAGGAGGAAGGAAGTAGGCTGTTCCATGGCATTTACCTTACAGCTACAGGAACAATGAGTAGACCTGGTCTTGAACTCAGTGGACAATTTCATGTTATCAGAGCCAAAATGAGCCAAGAGCTCAGCCAGTTTTCAGAGCAGTTGCTCTGAGCAGGAACTGACCCTGGTGGTGGCATAGCCAGGAAATCAAAAGGTCATCTAAGACTTTCTGATAATAAACAAATCTGACCAGGTATGGGAGAAAAAAAATAGAAATAAATCTCAGAATTAGCTACATTTCTGGAAACTTGGGAGAAAAGTTTGCATTTAGCTTGTCTATCATGATCTGTAATCTAAGCAGTTCTGCAGAAAGTCATGCCTTGAGAAACAGAGCCCAAAGAGAAATCTATTCTGAACACCTCTGTAAGGGTTCTCATCTATACTCTTATTCTAGTTTCCAAAGATTCTCATATCTGCATTGATTTTTGTGACAAACTAACAGGACATGCCTGATCTGTAATGCCACGAAACAGAGCTTCCCACATTGACTTCACACTGCTCAGGAGATCACTGAGCCATCAGCCAGCTTCTCTATTTCTGGCAACAATCACAGTAATTTAAAGAATTCTCCCCGGTCAAAATGACATACTCTGATTTTATTTGTAAGAATGCTGACTTGCTCTTTTCTGGAAGTTGCTGCAATATTATTTTTATCAAGATAAAAAGTACCTTTCAACTACTTTTCAAAGGTCCCTTTTAATCTTATAGAAACTGTTGGCTTCCTAAATGCAGAATCTTTGAAATGGTTTTTTAAGTCCACTGAAACTGATACCAATCAACACCAATTCAGTCCTTTACCAAATAAAGAACCTATTATGTGTTATCAAGTGTAAGGCACAAACTGAACATAGAATATGCCAACTCTGTACTCCTTTTCTCCAGTCATGATTTAAATTTTCCTTACAAATCAGCATCCAGCCACCTCCTGGTGTCTCAGGTCCACATCCCATAACTCTGTGCTGCAAACTGAACACACTACCGGAACCTTTCCCAAGTCTCTCAAGACTTTCCCTCGCATTGCTTCTCTGCGGCAATAAAAATACCATCCATCAAAAGTACTTGCTTCTCCTTCATCTCCCATGGCTATTTATCTCCAAATATCACAGCTCAAATACCTCCTAACTTCAAACCCTTGCCACGCCCAGAAGCACGGCTTCCTCTCATCCCAGCTGAGGCAAAGTCCTGTAGACTTGCTTCTCTCTTCATCATGCTGTGCTCTTCCACATCCACACTGGTCTCTCTGCACAGAAATGTAAGGGCAGAACACTCCCCACTGACAGCAAAGCCAATGGCCTTTAGCACTGCAGGCACAGTGGCAGATGTCATGCTATGCCCCCTGCCTGTCCCTGAACACTGTCTCCTCATACCCTAGCCCGCTGAATTTTATGCCTGTCATCAGTCCTCATAAACAGATGGCATAGTATCTCCATTCTAAAAAACTCTAGCATAAGTAGAGAGAGAGAGATGGTTTAATGAGTCAACTGTCAGTTTAGAAGTTATTCTTCCTTTTGACACTGATCCTGTCATTGTGTCCTTTTTGATACTCAAAACAACAGAAATCTAAAACACACAAGCAAAACAAAAGCAGGCTGGAGTCTGGTGGAATAATCTTTCTGTATTTGTGGGAAAAAAAATTATACATTTAGATGGTAGTTTAGAAATGTCATTCAAATTTTGGGTCTCCAAATGTTCTTTTGTGCCTTTTACATTTCCTGCTATTAATTCAAGCATGACAAGTAGAGTTCAAGGCAAACAATAGTCAGCTTTTACTTCAGCAATTTTCATGTAAATACAAACTGATGTAGTTTTTCCCCATCCCATATATTGAATAATCTTTGTTCTATGATTCAGCTGCTCCCATTACAAATCCTTTCTGTGCAACAGCCAAATGTGAAATTTTATTAGCTACTAGAACACAGTAAATGTTTTGCTTCACAAACACTGAGAGAAACAATTAATAAATGAAATCTCCTGAAATTGAAAAGCTTCTGTAAAGCAAAGGACACAGCCAACAAGACAAAACAACAGCCTACAGATGGGAAAAGATCTTCACTAACCCTACATCAGACAGAGGTCTGATCTCCAAAACATACAAAGAACTTAAGAAATTGGTCACCAAAGAACACATAATCCAATAAAAATTGAGTACAGACCCAAACAAAGAATTCTCAACAGAGGAATCTAAAATGGCTGAAAGACACTTAAGGAAATGTTTAACATTTTTAATCATCAGAGAAATGCAAATCAAAACAACTCTGAGATCCCATCTTACACCTGTAAGAATGGCCAAGATCAAAAACACTGATGACAACTTATGCTGGAGAGGTTGTGGGGTAAAGGGAACACTTCTGCATTGCTGGTGGGAATGCAAGCTGGTACAGCCCCTCTAGATGTCAGTGGCGCGATTTCTCAGAAAATTAGGAAACAACCTTCCTCAAGACCCAGCAATACCACTTTTGGGTATATATCCAAAGGATGTTCAATCATGCCACAAGGACAAGTGCTCAACTATGTTCATAGCAGCTTTGTTTGTCATAGCCAGAACCTGGAAACAACCTAAATGCCCCTTGACCAAAGAATGGATGAGGAAAATGTGGTACATTTACACAATGGAGTACTACACAGCAGAAAAAATAATGACATCTTGAATTTTGCCGGCAAATGGATGGAGCTAGAAAACATTGTTTTGAGTGAGGTAACCCAGACACAGAAAGACAATCATCACATGTACTCACTCATAGGCGGTTTTTAAACATAAAGCAAAGAAAACCAGCCTACAAACCACAATCCCAGAGAACTTAGACAACAATGAGGACACTAAGAGAGACTTACATAGATCTAATCTACATGAGAAGTAGAAATTAGAAAAAGACAAGATCTCCTGAGTAAATTGGGAGCATGGGGACCTTGGGGGAGGGTTAAAGCAGAGGGGAGAGGCACGAAGGGGAGCAGAGAAAAATGTAGAGATCAATAAAAATCAATAAAAACAAATAAAAAAATGTTTTGCTCTCCACATAAGGGGAACAGAAGCCATCACTGAAACTGGAGAACTCTTAGAGATGTCCTGCATGACTTTCGTTTGAAGGTATATAACATATTGTACAACAATCAGGGGAGAATACTTCAAACTCAGTATTACTTTCCAATACGTCCTCTGGCTCATGCATAGAAATATATAATCAGCAACAGTTACATAAGGTGCTTGATTGACTTTTGGCAAAGTTCTCAAAAAAGATTATAAAGGTGATGCTGTGATATACGCAATAGAAAAGAACTTTAGTGAAGTTTAGGAGAGTCGTGATTCAGCAACAGATCTATGAATGCACCTATAAATAACATCACTAACATGGTAGATGCATTAAAACCACTACTGTAACCTTCAGGAAATACAACTTGTAACAGGGCAGAGGCTACTGAGAAAGGCTGCCTGACAATGTCTATGGTGCAAGTAGACACCAATCCAATCTGGCTGTTCATAGAGCTAAAAGCCTCAGTCTTAAGAAAAGTGACAGAAACTATCTACACAACCAAATACCAGCTTTAAATTCATGGCTGAGAAACCCTCTTGGGATAAGAACTTTTCCTAAGGCGTTGTGTGAAAAATACTAAATTATTATTCCAAAGCTCACAGCTGCTGCACTGCAGCAGTTCACACACTCCCATGCTTACACCTGCGGTTCACACACTCCCATGCTTACACCTGCGGTTCACACACTCCCATGCTTACACCTGCAGTTCACACACTCCCATGCTTACACCTGCAGCAGTTCACATACTCCCATGCTTACACCTGCAGCAGTTCACACACTCACATGCTTACACCTGCAGCAGTTCACACACTCACATGCTTACACCTGCAGCAGTTCACACACTCCCATGCTTACACCTGCGGTTCACACACTCCCATGCTTACACCTGTGGTTCACACACTCCCATGCTTACACCTGCAGTTCACACACTCCCATGCTTACACCTGCAGCAGTTCACACACTCCCATGCTTACACCTGTGGTTCACACACTCCCATGCTTACACCTGCGGTTCACACACTCCCATGCTTACACCTGCGGTTCACACACTCCCATGCTTACACCTGTAGTTCACACTCCCATGCTTACACCTGCAGTTCACACACTCCCATGCTTACACCTGCAGCAGTTCACACACTCACATGCTTACACCTGCAGCAGTTCACACACTCCCATGCTTACACCTGCGGTTCACACACTCCCATGATTACACCTGCGGTTCACACACTCCCATGCTTACACCTGCAGCAGTTCACACACTCCCATGCTTACACCTGCAGTTCACACACTCCCATGCTTACACCTGTAGTTCACACACTCCCATGCTTACACCTGTAGTTCACACTCCCATGCTTACACCCGCAGCTCACACACTCCCATGCTTACACCTGCAGCAGTTCACACACTCACATGCTTACACCTGCAGCAGTTCACACACTCCCATGCTTACACCTGCAGCAGTTCACACACTCACATGCTTACACCTGCAGTTCACACACTCCCATGCTTACACCTGCAGCAGTTCACACACTCCCATGCTTACACCTGCAGTTCACACACTCCCATGCTTACACCTGCAGTTCACACACTCCCATGCTTACACCTGCAGCAGTTCACACACTCCCATGCTTACACCTGTAGTTCACACACTCCCATGCTTACACCTGTAGTTCACACTCCCATGCTTACACCCGCAGCTCACACACTCCCATGCTTACACCTGCAGCAGTTCACACACTCACATGCTTACACCTGCAGCAGTTCACACACTCCCATGCTTACACCTGCAGCAGTTCACACACTCACATGCTTACACCTGCAGTTCACACACTCCCATGCTTACACCTGCAGCAGTTCACACACTCCCATGCTTACACCTGCAGTTCACACACTCCCATGCTTACACCTGTAGTTCACACTCCCATGCTTACACCCGCAGCTCACACACTCCCATGCTTACACCTGCAGCAGTTCACACACTCACATGCTTACACCTGCAGCAGTTCACACACTCCCATGCTTACACCTGCAGTTCACACACTCCCATGCTTACACCTGCAGTTCACACACTCCCATGCTTACACCTGCAGTTCACACACTCACATGCTTACACCTGCAGCAGTTCACACACTCCCATGCTTACACCTGCAGCAGTTCACACACTCATATGTTTACACCTGCAGCAGTTCACACATTCCCATGCTTACACCTGCAGTTCACACACTCACATGCTTACACCTGCAGTTCACACACTCACATGCTTACACCTGCAGCAGTTCACACACTACTCACATGTTTACAACTGCAGCAGTTCACACACTCACATGCTTACACCTGCAGCAGTTCACACACTCCCATGCTTACACCTGCAGCAGTTCACACACTCACATGCTTACACCTGCAGCAGTTCACACATTCCCATGCTTACACCTGCAGTTCACACACTCACATGCTTACACCTGCAGTTCACACACTCACATGCTTACACCTGCAGCAGTTCACACACTACTCACATGTTTACACCTGCAGCAGTTCACACACTCACATGCTCCCAGCTGCTGCTCTGCAGCCTATGTTGTGTCTCAGCACACTGCACACACAGGAGTGTATCTGTATATGATGAGGCAAAAGCTCTGTGAGGCAGCCTCCTTACAATGCAGGTAGCATATAACACTCAGACGCTCACACCCGCTGCTCTGTAACACATTCACACAGCAAACAGGCCAGGAGAACAGGCACTTACCCTGGCATCGTATTCAAGGACAAAAGGAGGGAAGTCTATCTGCTCTGGTGATATGGCAGAAAAGAGCTGGTGCAGGCTGTCTATGTGATGTATTTTGTCCTTCAATCCTGAGACAGAAAAGGTGGTGAAAAACCATGTTGAGACCTGATTAATAGGAGAGAAAAATAATTTAAGCCAGTAGCCACCATTAAGAATAGATACACTTTTGAAATTTTATACTAAAGTGTGCAATTTGAAAATATTTGAAATTGAACAATAACAGTTTTTTAAAGTACAGTTTGCAGTTCATTAGTGAGTTGCACAATAATGTCACGGATTACGAGGAACACTTATAAAATGAAAGAACAATGACATCGGGACTACAATAAGGAGGCTGTCTCGCAGAGCTCTGGTCTCAGTGTAGAGACACTTTGTATGCACAGTATGAGGAGACACACAACATAAGTGCCGTCTCTCGACTGAAGTTATGTGCAATTCATACCTGCTGGGAAAGGGAAAATGGAGGTCACTGGGTACGTCAACACCCCAGGGCAGGGCCCATGCCAGGAGTGGTTGACTAACACAAAATGGACTCCATGGCTTTTTGTGTACTTCTTGTTTTGTTTTTTGTTTGATTCCTGTTTGGTTTGGTTTTTGATGTTGGAGAGGAAGGGAGAAAGAAAGGAGCACAAGGTTGAACAGGTAGCGAGGATCTGGGAGGAGGTGGGGAAGCGGAAAGAATATGATTAAAATATATTGTCTGAACAAAGGCTCTCCATTATTTGGTATAGTAGGTTAATAGACTGCAATTTTTTTTTGTTTGGCTGTTTCCAAAGATATTTTCACTTGGTAACTGCCATATGGTCTCTGTTGCAGCTAATCAAAGCAATGTATGTGTGTGTACACGAACATATACAAGGGACTTTTCTTCAGCCATAAAGAATGAGATTATGCCATTTTCAGAAAAATGGATGGAAATGGAGATTATGATGTTAAGGAAAATAAGCCAGCCTACAAACATAACGTATTTTCTCTCATATGTAGAATCCATATATAAAAGGGAAAAAAACATTAAGGTAGGAAGTGGCTATTTGGGAAGACGAGAGACTGCAATGGGAGAGGAAGTCTAAGAAAAAGTAATGGGACTGAATATGATCTAGGTGTGTTGTATATGTGCATGAAAATGAAACTCGCCCTTTTTATTATAACTATGCTTTGATTGTTTTTAAAGCTAGAAAAAAGGTGAATCTCACCTTTAAGTCGCTTTACAAAATATAAGTGAAAGAGTTTGTTAGTTTGAAAAAAACCAGAAAATTCCTGGTAGCAAGTGCTATTTCTGTCTGATATTGAGACATACAGTAGATAAAAGATAATACAAGTTATGTTATTTATCTATCTGATTTTTATCAGCAGGTTACACAACAGTTTAATGAGGTGGGTGTAATGATGTTGTTCTTCCTATTTACAAAAGATGGAAAACAATGCACACAATCTTTCAGTGGAATGCCTACTATATTCCAAAACAGTAGTTAGAACCCAGGATTGACCACAGTCACTTAGGGGAGCTGGCATGTCACTTTGGGTGCCTTGCTTTTTTTTATTAATTTCTGTTTGGTATGCTGCCACATTCTTCAGAGGCTCTTCCAAACCTCTGACATATTCCAAGCTACTAATATTACATACTTTCTTCCCTAATATTGTAATTGTATGTCCTGTTCCTTTAGAGATAGGCCCAGCCTACTCCTTGCCCTGTCCTGGATCTTTCTTCCACTTTACTTCCAGCCTGAGCTCCTTCCTTTCCTTCTCTCTCTCTCCTAAAGAGGCAGCCTCTGCCTCTCTCCCTTCTCCTCACTTCTTTCCCCCTCTCTGCTCTTTTTCATTCTCCCCTTTCCCCTCCATATACCACTAAATAAATATCCACTTTCTATGCATGGCATGCCTAATAGGTCTCTGTGTCTCACCACTGCATGGCTCTGCATGGGACTGGCTGCCTTCCTGGCCCACCGTGGTCTTGTAGCCCACTGCCCACTGCCGCCACTCGGGGACCTGCAGTGTTTTACCATAACAAATATGACATAATTCCTTCAAACTTACTTGTAAAATAAAATCCATAATAGACAACATTGGACTAAGTCATCACTATGTGAAGTCTATTCAAATTTCGCAAATTGATACAGGTATCACCTTTCATTTCTTGCCTACTGCTCTAGGCTATCCCCTTTGTGGATTCTTCTCCTCCCCTCTAGTATTTCAGTTACATTCATTTCTGCAATCTCTCTGGTTTTTAGAAGACAATCTAGAATGGCAGTATAAAATTGTGAAGGTATCTACAGAGCTGGGTTCCAAGCACTTGCTAAGGAAGAATGAATATCTGGGCCTATTTTATGATGGCCGCCGAGTCCTGGGTCATTATTGAGGTAAGCTACATTACTGCTGGCTTACACAGCCTCAAACTCCCTATTATTATCTGAATTTCCTTTCCTCCCATTTTTCAAGTTTATTAAGAGGATTGATATGGAGTAGAGGAGACATTAGGCAAAATCAGAATCAAATGAGTTAACCAGTGAAGGAACTGCTTCTCAAAATCAATTTGTGTGGACATGTCCTATTGCACACCCTTTCCTGTGTTAACACGTGCTATTGCACACCCTTTCCTGTGTGAACACGTGCTACTGCACACCCTTTCCTGTGTGAACACGTGCTATTGCACACGCTTTCCTGTGTGAACACGTGCTATTGCACACCCTTTCCTGTGTGAACACGTGCTATTGCACACCCTTTCCTGTGTGAACACGTGCTATTGCACACCCTTTCCTGTGTCAACACGTGCTATTGCACACCCTTTCTTGTGTGAACACGTGCTATTGAACACCCTTTCCTGTGTGAACACGTGCTATTGCACACCCTTTCCTGTGTTAACACGTGCTATTGCACACCCTTTCCTGTGTGAACATGTGCTATCGCACACCCTTTCCTGTGTGAACACGTGCTATCGCACACCCTTTCCTGTGTTAACACATGCTATTGCACACCCTTTCTTGTGTGAACACGTGCTATTGCACACCCTTTCCTGTGTGAACACGTGCTATTGCACACCCTTTCCTGTGTGAACACGTGCTATTGCACACCCTTTCCTGTGTCAACACGTGCTATTGCACACCCTTTCTTGTGTTAACACGTGCTATTGCACACCCTTTCTTGTGTTAACACGTGCTATTGCACACCCTTTCCTGTGTGAACACGTGCTATTGCACACCCTTTCTTGTGTTAACACGTGCTATTGTACACCCTTTCTTGTGTGAACATGTGCTACTGCACACCCTTTCCTTTGTGAACACGTGCTATTGCACACCCTTTCTTGTGTGAACACGTGCTATTGCACACCCTTTCCTGTGTGAACACGTGCTATTGCACACCCTTTCTTGTGTGAACACGTGCTATTGCACACCCTTTCCTGTGTTAACACGTGCTATTGCACACCCTTTCCTGTGTGAACACGTGCTATTGCACACCCTTTCCTGTGTGAACACGTGCTATTGCACACCCTTTCCTGTGTGAACACGTGCTATTGCACACCCTTTCCTGCTATCGCAACCCCTTCTTGAAGTGAACATCTACAAACTAGATGAGGAAAAAGTTTCCTCGAAAAAGCTTGACATGATGAGAAAGCAGACATCGCTGGTGAACTAGCAGTGGCTGTGGAGAGATTGTGCGGGAACAAACTCCACACCAGTTGTCTAGTGTGTACTGCGCACTTCGCTGGAGGTTTTCTTAGCCACAGTCTTCTACCTTAAATCTTTTTACGTGTCTTGCTTCAGTCCTGACAGCTTTATCCTCAAATCTTAACTGACTGTTGTCCTATTTGAAGACTTCCTTGGTGCACTTTCAACCAAAGCTGCAAAAGGACATTCCTTCTAAGTGTTCCTCCATGCTACCATAGAACAGCGAACATTCTGGAGATTTCAGCTGAGGCTCTAGTCTGAACGTTCTGTAATGAAGACTCATAGTCATAGTCTGGTGCTCAGCATTTATCTAGGAGGAACTCAGCGTTTGCTCACAGAATTAACAAATGGAGCCTGGAGCTTACTCTAACACTATCAGCGAAAGTACAGGACTCCTTAAATTGCACTTCTTTCTGGGCCTCGGCTACTCCATCTACAAAGCGAAGTTACATTTGCATGACATTTTAAGGTCTTGTTGCTATCCAATTCTTTGGCAGGACTCTTAAGTAGGCTATGCTGTACTGACATGGTGGGGTGCTGATGGGAAAGGGTTGGGGGACAGGCAGCCCTGGAGAAGCACAGGCCGATCATAAGCATCCCATCTGCAGAAGAGAAACCAAGCCTGCCAGTTTCTCTCATCATATCTTCCTTTTACAGTTCATAAGTGCTGGCAGGAAAAAATTATTCAAAGCAGGTAGAAGTGGAAATTCAGTAAAAAGGTCCTGTTTGGGAAGACCCAAGAATACCGATTTTGCCTTTTTTTCTCCACCCATTTTAGTTTTATATGCCTCAGCTTCAAATTTTTAATTGTTTAGAGTATAAGCTAAAAATATATATTAAGGATTGCTCTTATTATTTAGTATCTACTACAATAAAAAACTAGAGAAAATGAACAACTGTTGGAAGGAATAATTCAGGTGTTTTTGTGAATGCTGGAGATTTGTTTTCTATCTAATTCTTCAAAAATGCAAAGCCAGGAATACAGGGTCATGAACAAAAGCCAAGAAGATACAGTTCACATGTATATGAAGTCAAAATGGTTATGATATGATAATTTATTAATTTTATCTCCTATTCAGAAACATTCAATTTATGGCTTTGATTTTCTAGAATTTCTATGAGAGTTTATTACATATGGACCTTACTCTCTCATTTCCCATTCCCCCAAATCACAGCAAGGTAGCACAAGGGCATCTGGCTGCAGCCTGGGCAGCCCCACATCTGGACTGATTCCCCATGAAACAATCCCAAGATGATGACAACGCTAGCTACCATTTGTGAGTGTCCACGGTAAGGGTTCTTTAAGGGACTTTGGAAGGGCCAACTCGTGTCATTCTTCTGAGTACACCGTGAGGTAGGCATTATTCCCATAATGTTAACGGGAGACACCGCTTAGCAGAGATGGCAAATTAGCCCCCCCCCCCCCCCTTTCCTCCCATGAAATCCTGCTTCCAAACTTTTGGCTTACTACTTTCCCAAACACAGAACGAAGCACCGCCTGTGTTTTGAAGGGCTGGCACATACAAGACTGAATACGGTACTGAATGGAAGGTGAGGACAGAGGTCTTGGGAATACTGAGGATTAGAAAGGAAACAGAGGAGGGGCAGTTACAAGCAGGAAAGAAACCAGGCAAAGTTAGCTTGCAGTAAGCCAAGACAGTGTTTCAAAGAAAAGATGACCTGCAGGGCAAGCAGGTAACATGAAGACTGAAGAGTGTGCTGTATTAAATGACAGGTGATTTGTGGTTGGTTATAAATTGCTTCAGATGGCAAAACCGGATTAGAGTAATCTAAGATGTATGAAAAACGGAAGTGAACACAGAACATGGGTTGCACTAAAAATTCCAGTTCTAATGGGAAGAAGCCACAATACATTGAAGAGGTAGTAATTTAACCTGGGTGTGGTGTGCCATGAATTTGAGAAAAGGAAGGAAGGAGGGGAGGGAGGGAGAAAAGATGCTAATTTCTCTAAAGAGGCTTGGAATATTCTCTAACCACTCATTTTTGGTAATAACATTGTTCAGAAGGGTACCCAAGTCAGATACAACCAAACATCAGGAACACAGTCATCTTAGCCAATGAAAACAGCAAATAAATCAGCAGTTACAGCATCCGGAACATACGGTGCACTTAAATCCAGGATTTAGTAAAAACATTAATACTGTACCTTTGAACGGAATGTTGGATGAACAAAATAAACAGCCTTCAAATTCCTCTTGTATCTAATCAAAACAGATAAACAGCTATCATAAGTCACACCGAGAAGTACTCATTAGATAGTCAGTCAACATTTTACCTGAGTAAATAAATAAATATATTAATACAGAGGAAACTACCAAAAAGCGGCAGGAGTTAATATCTTGAATTTGGGGTAATTAAGAGAATATTTCATTATTTAAACTGCCTATCTTAAAGGAAGCACCAAATGCTCCCCCTCACTGTGACAGAGCTACCTTAAGGAAGGATAAAGTCAATTCATACTTTTAAAACATCACTGCACATTCTTCTCTATAGCATGAGAGAGGCTCTGAGCTCAAATATATGAAATTAAGTTACTCTGAAATTACTAATGTTGTAGCAAACATTAGGAACTAAAAGTTACACTCAGGTTACAAGTTACTGCATGACTCAAATTCTCTGAAGGCTTTGTACTTAATCTTCTCAACAGCTCTGAGGAGAGTACCAGCATTGGCTCTACCTCAATACTCCGTGACCCGATGACCAAGAGACAATGCCTAGAACCCAACCTGGGCCTCAGCCAGATACTTGTTGAAGCTTGCTGAGGTACATCTTAAAATTTTGTTTTTCAGTAATTTAATAATCACCACCAAGACATATGAGGTTAACTGTAAAGGACTTCAGGGAAATAGCAGGAGCACTATTTTAGCTGAGGGTTGTGTCATTTGAAGGGCTAGTTAGTGGCAGAAGTAGGTACGGAGTGAAGTGTAGCTTCATTACAAAACACTTCAAAGCACAAATGGGAGTCTGTTAGGTAATGCAAGCATTAGTGTTCCTATTAAGTTGAGGTTTAATGGATGGTGGAAGACAATGGAAATTTATGGTAACTTATCCTCTTTGCTCCCTTACTGTAAAATGGTTTTTCAACCTAACCGATAAAAGCATTGTGATGCTACAAATAAAATAGGTACCAAGAGAGTAGAATGCCTTATTATTATTATTATTTAGGAAATAAATCACGGAGGAAAAAATTTAGTCTTGCATTGGGGTGGTCATTAGAATTTCCATTATTACAGTAAGGGAACATAATTTAATGAAAATAATTTTCCAAGTCAGTAATCTAGTAAATCTAATTTTTGTATATAAAATTTTGACATCTTGGCCAACAAATGCCATTTCTTATTATTCTCCATCTTCCAGATGTAGAAAACATTGAAAGATAACAGGATACTCAGCAGTAAAGACACAGGCTCCTATGCCCTTGATCCATAAAGCCTGTCACACCCAGTTTCTCTCCTCCCTGTATTAATGTATGGAATGTGTTTGTCCCTCAACACCTTGTCATATGGAAAACCTCACCAGGTACAGGGTAAAGTTTTCTTCAGAGACAAACTGGTCACTGATCTTACCTTACATGGGGGTGGGGGATCCACTTAAACCACAAGGAAGAAATGTCCAAATAAAAGTCTGTTTTCATGACTAACCAACTCCAAATCCCCAAGAACCCCATAAATGCTTGCTCCTTTCTTTCAGTAGACAGCCTAAACCCCCAAGTTCTTTCCCTGTGCTCAACCTCTTCTCGTTCCGATGAAAACCTCTGCCTGCTCGTTTATGTTCAGTTTCAGGTATTTATAATCACAAAGACAAATTCCTCTGAACCTGCTACCACTATCTCTCCCAACGGATTCTCGGGCTACTAGATCAATTAAATAATGCTACGGGTCTACTCTGGTGTACATTATGCTATGGCGAGAGCAACCAAGGCTGCACTTCATTACTTTATGCACAAAGACTAGGGATGGCACCAAGCCTCTTCCAAAGCGGTCAAAAGTGGGAAGATTACAAACGAGTTCAGTTTCCTGCAAAAGGAGGGTCTCCCATCATTTAAGTATCTAATGTACATGATAAAAATTTGTCCTGTGAAATAGCCTTTCAAAAATCTTTACAAATGTTTGCTATTGCTTAGTGTTAAAAATAAAGAAGCAATACCCCCTTCACAATTTCCAAAAATAACTAACTTGACATCAACGACATCGTAGAGTTTCTTCAGGAAGTCGGAGTCCAGGTGATTGTATTCAGTGGTCAGTGTGTGAAAATAGACCAGCACATATTCCTTCACAGCGATGTGGTCCATTACATGGATAAAATATAAGAGAGCCTAGAAGAGAGGGATAAAGACCATTTCCACAGTGGTTCACTTCACAGAGGCTGAGAGAGCGGAAACCCCTCCCCTAAGATTATCTACACCTGTAATTGCAGATGGAAAGAACAGATTGGTGAGGACCACTTCTCTTAGAAAGTGAGTCATCCAGCATTTACTGGTTGTTCTCAAAGGCTGTAGCACAGACCTTCTCCATGAGGGAAGAGGATAATTAACCCCTGGCCTTTGGAATGACTCTTCAATACCAGGAAGAGCTCTTGGCTCAACTATCAGGTTTCTACAACAATGATGTCAAAACATTTACAACGAAGATTTAATACTTCTTATGATTTTAATAGAATCCATAATTCTTGATGTTTCTCTTTGCATCCCATCAACGGCGACCAGACACAGACAAGGAGTAGAGCACATGGTATATGGAGTATCTCCCTCCATGCCCCCGTAGAAACCCATTTGCTTAGCAACTTTCATGCTTATCTGAATGAGGAAAGTGGAGGGGTTTGTGGGTGGATGGCAAAACACATTGAGCAACACTTCTAGAACTCAAGAGGATGATCTAATATGAACCTGTTTGGCAAGGGATGTATTCTATTTTAAGAAATCTAAGAGAGACACTAAAAACAAGATGAGAAATATAACCCAAGTAGGGCTGAAGTGACCCAGAGGTTTGGCTGTAAACAACTGCAAAGAGGAAGCTAAGCTACATCAACCAAAAGGATTACCGACCAGGCTGTTTTCCAGTTCCTCCTCAGGGGAGTCCTTGGCATTAATGTGGATTAGGACCCAACTGCAGGCACTGCAGGCACAGCAGGCAGAGGAGGGCATTATGAACACAGCTGCTTGGCAAATATTACCTGGTTTGAACCTCATAATAAGTCTTATTTTTTACTATGAAATGACATATCATAGTGTCAGGAATGCTATGTGAGCACACACCAAAATCAAATTAAGGATTATATTCTTATTGGAATAAATCTTACCACTGAAGGTAAGAGTGAAGGACACACTGACTGTTAAGAACACCAATGGCAGCAAATAGAAACTTAGGATGTAATTCTTACCAGGTACGGAGTCTTTCCCTCTCTGTGAACGGACCCACCCCTGATCACCCTACTTTTCCTCTCATTGGACTGCCGCTTTGTCCTCACACTTGGGTAAATTAGGCGACTCTTTTTGGCTTTAAATTCTCTATCTTTAAATTATTCTGCTGCTGTATACGAGTAGCCAAAAAGAGAAGGTTGTGGGGGACAAATTCTCCTCAAAAGGAAATAAAGTGAAAATAATACATCTATTTTATTTGAAACTGCACGTGTGTGTATCTGTGAGTGCACACCACATGCACAAGGATGCACAGAACAGAGGCATTAGAGTCCCTGAAGCTGGAGTTGTAGGCAATTGTGGGCCACCCAACAAGGGTGCTGCAAATCAAGGTCTATAAAGAGTCATACCCATTCCTGAGCCATCTCTGCAGCTCCAAACAAATCCATTTTGAAACACTTCCTATTAGAGTCTTCTATGGACACACGTCTCCTCTCTACTGCACTCACCTCAGCCTCTCCCTCTCCCGCCCCCCCACGCTAGAGATGGAACCCAGGGCCCTGTGGACACTAGACAAGCACTGTACTCTGAGCCGAATCCCCGGCCTCTCAGGATCATAGTCTCCATCTGTGCATACACCATCATCAGCTATTGGACATCTAAGTTACAACATTTTTCTGTGGGGGACCCTGTAGGACTGGCTCACTGCTTTCACATATTCACCCCAATACTGCTGACAAAAGTCTGAGAGCTTAGACATTCTGATCAGCTTCTAAATAGCTATGTTTCACCTTAAAATTATATGGATTTCTCCTTTTTATATATGCTATGCTTTCTGTGTTAAGACATTTGGCTCAACTATAACTTGTTTTTCATCATTATTTTCTAATGGAATTGATGCTTTGGGGAAATGTGTATATAAATGTTTTAATAGAATATCTTATCTATTCTTTGGTAATTTCATTCATGTAAACAGTGTATCTTATCTCCTCTCTCCCCATTCTGGGTACCCCAACATGGCCGGCCTCCCAATTCATGCCCCTTTTCTTTTGTAACAGTGCACTGAGTTCAGTTAGTGCTGCCTGCTGACTGAAGAGCTCTATTCAGCTCACAGTTCGACTGTCCTCCAGTGAGTTCTCCGCCTTCAGCAGTCACAGGATTCATAACCACTTGTCCCAAGTGAGTGTGTTCTTAGTACATCTCAGGAACAGTCACTGGGTCAATGAACACAGCTTTTATACTTTCATTCATCTCTAGTGACAATAGCTCTTTACAAGTTCTCACTAATTGTCAGAATGAAAAAAAATCACATTTTGAATTGCTTTTTTAAAATTTTACTTCCTTTTCTTTAACACTTTCAACTATTTTTTTTCCCTTTAGGATCATCTACTTCTGTTTTCCACCCCCACATGAAGGGATGATAGAATTACACTACCTTGCTATCTTATACAAAGCACACCTCTGATTTTTTCTTTCTAAGTAGATACTCAAATGTTAATTTTTCTTTTTTTTTCTTTTTCAAAGAAGTTGAAGTCTGATTGTATGCTTACAACGCAGGATGCTTCTAACCAAAAGCTTACCAATTACACGATATCCAAACAAAATAGCTGCATTTCTGGAGTAATCAGAGCTTTGTGGTATCTGTTTTCCCTACAGAGGACAAGCAACCCCTACCTTACCAGAAATGATGCACACTAAGTCTCGGGGGATGCTTTTCCACCCCAGATCTACAATTCATCTCATCCATGCCTGAGAACCTTCTCCCTGCACCGTCTACCTGACTTGCAGAAGAAGCCGCCATGGCTTACCTTGTCCATATCTATCAGCGTCACAGGAATGTTTCTTCCAACTACCACCATCACTGTGCGTCCACAGTTATCCACACCTAAGAGAGGAGGTGCAGTCAGGACCCAGAAACCTTAGTGCAATACCAGCGTTTGCCCTGTCATATAACATGTCTTTGACTGCATAAAAGAATTCTACACATACAAAAGTAAGAAATGGGATGCACAAGCTTCTAAGATTATATCATTAGATTTCTTTTAGTGTTAGGGAAATACTTCTCTTTCTTGATTTTAAAGCTTTATGAGATTTTGACCACAGTTCTGACTTTAAGATTGTTTAAATATTTTAAATTACCAAAACCTATGTTTTTTTTTTAAACAACCATTTTGTTTAAGCTCTTCACAACATTTAATAGTACTAGTGACCCAAGAAATGCTAGAAGCTCTCAATTGAAAATTAACAGATAATGCCTAGAACAAAACACAGCAGAGGAACTGGGGTCTGGAGAAGGCTATGAGTTGTATTGAAAAATGCTTAGGACTCTTTAGAAGCAGAAAAATTCTAACAGAAAAAGCATCCCAGAAAAAGGCGAGCAGGCAATGTGAGACCCCGAGAAAACATTACAGGTTAACAATAAGTCTAAGATCCTTAGATGATCTTAGATGTGCAAAACCTATTGACATCAGCACAATACACTGTGTTCAGAGAGAAACTGAGTCTTTCCAGCACAATGAGTCAGACCCCTCAATTAGCAAGAATAAGATCATTAACCTCACCTGTTTGGTACAAGGCCTTCAGAGAAGCAATATCGGAGAGGTCCTCAGATCTTGCTTGGCATAACCAGCGGTTATAACTAGACAAATAAAAGGTACAATCGTTACAGCAAACGTTGGCACGTTACTTTTGCAAATGGAACCCCTTTCAACATATTTTGCTGACCATAAAGAACTGAGGCTTCATTAAAACAGAGTTAGAGGCTATTATACTGTGGAGGTTCTTGAGTTATTGTTAAATGCATGTTAGTGAGAAAATGTGCATACACCAATCAGTAAAAAAAATTCTTATGGTAAATCATGAGTACACAAGTAAGTGTCAAAGATGTCAAATATTCAAATAATTAAAGAATACTCTTATTTTTCCTTACTAGAAAGATGTTATCAGGAAAAGCCTCAGTGTTAGATCTCCAAAGCGGATAACCACTAATTAACGAAGCTATGATGAGTGCTTGAGACTATTACAGCAAACAGACAGCAGGATCACTGCCCTCACGAAGTCAAAGCACAGCAGAAGGACATTAAATGCTGCACATGTTATACAGGACAACAAGCAAGGCAAGAAGCTTTATCAGACATTTATGACTGGTTAATGAAGCTTGGATAGAACCCCTACTTACTACGACACATGGACTAATTTGGCTTTGGCGAAAAGGAGGTTACAAATGATTTTAATGATCAAGTTAATATTTCAGGTTTTTATTTTTGTTTTTTCTTGAGATGGCCTCACTCTATTAAGTAGCCTCCACTGACTGGAACTCACTAAGTAGAGATCTGTCTACTTCTGCCTCCTGGGTGCTAGGATGAAATGTGTGTGCCACCACACCCTGTTCAAGTTAATCTTAATAGCTAATTTACCATACGACTCACAACTGCCTGGAACTCTAGGGATCTGATGCCATCTTCTGGTCTTTGGAGGGACTTGCACATACATATACATACACATAGATACACACATAAATTTCAAAAAAAAGTATTTTTAGGTATAGAAGATATCTATAACGTCTATGAATTTTAATTTTTAAAGTTTTTAAATCCGCCTAAAATTATTTCTAGTTCATGGTGTAAACTCTAGAACTGTATAAATGCCCATCTTGTTAAGTTTGGACAGTGGTTAATAATTTGAGATCATTCCAGGGATAGATTATAACAGGCAACATTTAAATATGTGGATTTTTGTAGTTTATAGTTTACATTCGTGATTTGTAAAAGATTCCAGTCACTGCTATGATCTTGGTGTGTTCTGACTTGTGCAGACCATAGGTACATTCCAGTGCAGTAACTCCACACTGTGCCTTCCTCCATAGCAGAAGCTATCACTCCACCTCCTTGCCCACCAGATGTGCTTTCCATCCAGCTACTTGAAGAATCGTTTATATTCCCACAGATATTCCCACTCAACACTTCCCTCTGTTTTTTGTGTATTATTATAATAAAAACAAACAACCTTCTATTCCAATCCCCAAATCAAAGACTAAAAATAGTTCCTAGAGCTGATTCCAGTGAATAAATTCTTACTATGTGCCAGACAAACCATAACCACCAAGTATAAATTATCTAGTAAAGCAAGTTGTGATGGCAGAGAAGCCACTCAACTCAGCCATTAGGCTGCTCCAAAAGGCAGAAATACTGAGTTGTTTTCCAGTGGGTACAACTAATCGAGGTTATTGTCTCCACATAGGCCAATTTCTTCAGTTAATCAATTACCATACACCTACACAGCCAAAGGCTGAATGACAAAGAAGATTCAAACAAAATTACTCTTAAAAACACAGGGCCTTCATGGGTCTGCACCAGGTCCTCTACATGGTATGTCTGGTGTTAGCTTGGAGCCTTGTGGGACTCCTAACTGTGAGGACAGGTATATCTCTGACTCTTCTGCCTACTCTTGGGGCCCTTTTCCTCCTATTGGGTTGCCCTATCCAGACTTGATATGAGGGGCTTTTGCCTTGTCTTATTCTATCTTGCTTTGTCCTGTTTGGCTGTTGCCTCTTGGAGGCCAGCTCTTTTCTGAAGAGGGAAGAGAAAGGGAGCGGATCTGGGGGAGAGAGAAAGTGGGAGGGAACTGGGAATAGAGAGAGGGGAGACTGTGGCTGGGAGGTATTGTATGAGAGAAAAATCTATTTTCAATAAAATTCAAATAATTACTTAATTTAAAAAGTTCAATAACTAACCTACTTAGAAAGAGCCCATTTTTTGAGAGAAAATTCACCCTGGAGTCAAGGGTTTCTAGACCTATAGCAAATGCTGTGTCCTACACTACATCCTTTTGTGTCCTGCTTCACCAGGTTCTCTATAAATGAGGTTGAACATTTTCTTGTGTACAGGACACTAAGCTCTGCAAGGGCAGAGGTTGTATCTGTCTTGCTTGTCTCTGCATTGCTAGATGTACTCTAGCACATTCAGTAAGAGCTGAATAATATTTAATAATTAATGAAATGATGCCTTAGTGTGAGAAGTGATGTTAGCAACATAGGTAACAGGATGTTAAGTATAACAAGGACCACTAACGAAAGGAAACAAAATATTCTAGTGAAATAACCTTTTCCCCTTGTGTCTCAGTGTCTTTTTCCCCACCGTAATAAGGACTTTCAAAAGTTGTAACTGAAAAGTTGCCAGGTTGCTTCCCAACCACTTCCTTAGAGACATCCAAATCACTCACAAAGCACAAAACACTTAGATGTATTAGTGAAGGATTAGGGCTGCGACTATGTTCTCAGATTTTGTAAAGAACGGGTGCACAGAGACTGACGCGGCACAGCAGGGCAGAGAAAGGACACTGAGGAGCCAGTGATGGAGAGCTGGAGTCCTTCAAAAGGACTACCAATCAATCACACACTTTAACACCCTTCGTCCCGATCAATGTAAGGGGAACTGGGTAAGCATAGTAAGTAAGACCCTGGTTCAGGAAAAGCATAAGTACATCTTTTTAAATTCTATCCTGCAATCTCCAGCATGGCAGGGCACTGACTTCCAGCTCTGCCACATCATAACTCAAAAGTCCTCAGTTCTAAACTGTTTGGTCTCAGAACCCCTTCATTCATATCGACCAATATTCATCATATCGTATATAACAGAAATCTAAAGGCATTTACTTATTGATCTAAAAGAAACAAAAAATAATTATCTGAATACACCTTTTGATGTAAAAAAATATGACTGGGTGGTGGTGGCACACGCCTTTAATTTCCACATTCGGGAGGCAGAGGCAGGTGGATCTCTGTGAGTTCAAAGCCAGCCTGGTTACAAGAGCTATTTCCAGGACAACTGGGACTGTTACACAGAGAAACCCTGTCTTGAAAAAAACAAAATATAACAACAACAACAAAAACTGTGCTTAGGAAGACGAACTATCCTCTTAACTTCACAATTCTCTTTACTATCTGAAAGACCCATGTTCTAGCCCTGGTCTCCTGCAACATCCCAGGCTAAGGAGCCCAGGAAACTGGATTGGGCACTGTGAGGATGAGGATGAAAGAGAAGTGACAGTGACAAAGTGAAGCCAGTCTGGCCTCACAGGCTCCTGAAGGGCACCAGGTTTCCTGGGCCACACTTTTGAGAGGCGCCATTTCCACTATTTCAGCAGGATAAGCGGAAGACCATGTACCTCGGGATGCTTCTGTGCCAGTTCTTACACAATTACAGCCACACAAAGCCTTCCTTTAACCTTTCTCTCTCACAGTGCTGTAAGAAAAAAAGCAACTAAACTGAACCCCACACCATTTACAAACAGCTAACTAGCTGGCTCACAGCCAAACCCGGCAAATACCTCTTGGTAAGTTGAGGACATCACTACCACCACTTCCACCTTCAGTCTCTAGACTTCTAGCTGAGTGCTGTCTAAACCATGAATGCTTCTAACCTCAAATGAACTGCCAAATTTGTCTACAGTTTTTCATTTAATAGCACTCTTGAGTATTCTGCATTACAGATAAAAGACCTCATCTTTAATCTCAGAGACACATAAATGGGAAGCCAGACAATCTTTTCATCAGTGATAGCTTTACTGGATGGCAGAGTGCTGTGGCAGAATACACTTGTACACTGTAAAGATTTGTCACTTGTAGTGGTTTAATAACACGCTGATTGGCTAGTAGCCAGGCAGGAAGTATAGGCAGAGCAATCAGACTAGGAGAGTTCTGGAAAGAGGAAAGGCAGAGAGGCTAGTCACCAGCCAGATGCAGAGGAAGCAAGATAAGAATGTCTCACTGAGAAAAGGTACCAAGCCATGTGGTTAAACACAGACAAGAATTATGGCTTAATTTAAGTTGTAAGAGCCAGTTAATAATAAGCCTGAGCTGATAGGCCAAACAGTTTATAATTACTATAAGCATTTGTGTTTCTTTGGGGCTGAACAGCAGCAGGACTGTCTGGGATAGAAACTTCTGTCTATATCAGAGCACCCAGTCCTTGTTTTCCTGTTGCGGCTTTGCTGCCCCTAAGTGATAACTGGATGTGCCCAACACCTTGATCGTTGCCCAGAACTTCTGCCTTAATGTACTTAATACCTCTGACAGTCAATGTGTGGCTCATTCTGATTTTCAGGACTATCTTTTTTTTTTTGGTTTTTCGAGACAGGGTTTCTCTGTGGCTTTGGAGCCTGTCCTGGAACTAGCTCTTGTAGACCAGGCTGGTCTCGAACTCACAGAGATCCGCCTGCCTCTGCCTCCCGAGTGCTGGAATTAAAGGTGTGCGCCACCACCACCCGGCTTTTCAGGACTATCTTACTCATGCCTGCATTCAGGGCATGTTCTTATAGAGTGAGTGTCTACCGTCTGCAGTGTTTGACTCTCCAGATCAAGGCCTTCCACCAGGAAATGATACTGCTTTACATGCTGTCTGTAATTCCTTTCCTGGAACTTGCCTTTTCCCTGAGGGCAACAGACCAGAAATTCACAGTCAGTACATATATATTTAATACTGCCCTGAACTAGTAGTTGATAAGTGAAACAAATCGACTCCTGGAGAAAAATGAGATAAACAACTAGCTTGGAAGAAAGAAAAGTGCAGAATCGCTGTCATTTCATGAAATATAAAAGGTTAATGGACCAGAGGGGAGGCGGGGGGAAGAGAGGGGGCGAGAGATAGATAAAGAATGCACGGCACATGTGTAGCAGTCAGGAGCACAACTTGAAGAAGATCTCCCCTTCCACCGTATGGAATCCAGACATCAAACTTAGACAGCCAGGCTTGGCATGAGCACCTTTACCCACTGAACCACGTTGCCAGTCCCAGTTGCTCTTCATGGAACATCACTTTTTACTTTAAAAGCTTACAGGCCAGACAAACTATGGCCATTTAACCTGAATTGTTTTCTTTAAGATAAATAAAATGATCTTGTCTTGGCAAGAAAAATAACTAGCAAGACTTACTGCCAATAATAAAATCTGAGTACAATATGCATTCCATACATTCAACTGTGGAAAGTTTATATCTTGACTTAAAAAAATTTTTTTTTTTTGTGGCAGGGTCTAATTATATAGTCCTAGCAATCCTGAAACTCAAGAGATTCCACCTGCCTCTGCCTCCTGGGATTTAAGGCATGTGTCACCAGGCCCAGCTGGGAAGCTTGGCTTTTTGCAGTGAGACTGGTGCTGGAATTAATACACTTTGATACTGTACAATGAAACATTGATACAGTTATCTGGGTGAATCCCTACTTTCCAGAGGATCTATGCATCATATCATAATGCCACACTCGTGATAAGACAATGTATTTTAAAACAGAATATGGAAACACAGATGTGGGGCTGGAGATGGTACAGAGAGCCAGGGAACTGTCTCCAGGTCTGGCAACAAGAATTTGATTCCCCAGATCCATATGGCAAAAATAGAGAATTTTTGCAAGTTATCCTTTGACCTCTGCATGCTGTGGTGGGCGGGCGAGACACACACAGAGGCACACATGTAAGCATACCCATGCACACCCACATGAACGCAGATGTAAGTAAATAAAAGAAATCACAATGGGTAAGGTTTAAGATCCCATATTATAACTAAACTTTCAGAAACTATCACTTATCAGATTCTATAAAGTGCACAGAAACATATCTGATTTCTTAAAAGTCTTTAAAAGTACTCCTTTGCTTTCCAATTCTGTCTTTGAGTAATGTTATATTTCCTTCATAAAATTTATCCAAGAAAACTTACTATAACAGTTTGAATGATGCTATTAGATTCTAGTCATCTTCACTTAAACCCATTGAACATTTTGCAAGATTTTAATACAAAAGACAAAATTAGCTAACTTTTGAAAAAAATGATTGTTTACTTATGAATGGATTAATAATTTCCGATATGGTAAGTGTTGATAGATATAGCCCATGTGGATACAAGCCCTCTGGAATCTTCAACCATTTATAAGCGTGCAAGGGGATTTGAGAGCCACAAACAACTCACAAATCATGATATGAACATTTGAAGAATGCAGACACAGAGAGAGAGAGAGATCACAGTGGTGTGCAAGGGAGCCCAGACACTGTATTTAAAGAAAAATGTTTGCCACATAACACTTCACATGACCAGGTTGAGAAACTAGAGCCTGTCACTGGGTTCATCCTTTGGAAAATTTGTTCACTGGTTCCCTCTAGTGGTAAATTTGCTTCTGTTATTTGCAAATTGGAGTCAAGTGAAGACATGGGACTGAGGAAGCAGCAAATGTTAATTCTGGCTGGGGGAGAGGAAGCCATTTCTTTCAGTGGTGTTGCACGGGTAAGTTGCCTAGGCCTCAGTAAATACCCTCCCTCCCTAGCTCATAGTAGCAAACCTAATTAAACTCGGCGGGCTACCAAACAAGCCACGAAAGAAGCTGGGAAGAAGTTTGAGTGAGATGGGGAAGAGGATGAGAGAGGGTAACAAGAGGTGAAAATGATAAAATACACCGTAGAGATGTATGAAACTCTCAAAGAAATAAAAAATATTAAAATATGTTTGTAAGAGATTTCTGAGATCATCTAGCCCAACCTGCATGCTATGACTGGAGAATGACCCCACAGAAGTACCATATAAAATAGTATGCTATGTTGTGGCAGGCTGTGAAAACGCAAAATAGGGAAGGCAGGTGTTTCAGACCCAGCAAATAAGGTTCGAGTGGCCTTTGCTTTACAGCTGAAACCTGGGAAATGGAGAGGATTGAAGGAAGAGATGATCCAAATCAAAATAAATGGGAGCCAAAGCTTAAAAATACGACAGAGACTTGTTAGCTTAGTACTGAAGAAAGCCACAGCGAAGGACTTCACGGCGCTGGCCTTCCAGGCGCCCCTCTGCGTGCACCGCACCTGCCTGACACCAGTCTGTGAGACGTTATCCTGACCCGCTCTAAGAGGGAATAGAGAGTCAGTACGAGTCATTTCTTTCTTTAAAATTTTGAAAAGCAGCTCCTTTACTATTAATCTTTGAAAAACCACAAAATACAAAGGTCCATCTGTGATTTCATAAGGATTCATCCAGAATTGCATTAGTATTAGAAACAGTTGGAGAAAACAATGTAAAGGTCCTCAGGGTAAGCTGGGGAGACATAAAACTCTTCAGCTGAAGAAAACTTTAACTGCTTCAGTGGTAAACGCACAACAGAAACCTTGTAAATGCCTTTCCTTTCTTCTAATCTCCCTGTTTAGACTAAACCCTCACATAGAGGCACAGCAATTAGAGACACACGGGGTAGAAACTGAAATCAAGCATGCATCTGAGCACCAGCTCCCCCAAACTACCTGACTCAACTTTCAGCTCAGCATCTGCAGAATGAGACTTGGACCCTATTACTGGGTCATCACGTAGATTAAACGAGAGGAACTTTGTGTGTACAGAAAAGCATCTAGCAGACTTCTGACTTCACACTCTCTGTCTGGACTTGTGTGTCTTACTTTCTTTGATGCTGCTTCTGCAGGGCAGCTTCGGACAACTGTCCCTGGAGGATCAGTTTTCTTTGCTTGTCAATATCTCCTTCCATTCGAGCAAACGCATGAGAGCCAATGAAAGACAGATCCACGCCCAGGCCGTCATCCTCATCTTCTTCTTGGTTCTCTGCAATGAAAGTGCCATCAGCAGAGAGCTACGGAAGCAGACCGCAAACTGACGGCAAGTGCTGCGGGAGCAACAACTGTGAGGCGACAAAACAAAGCCAAAAAGCCTCGAACCCGGGCTAAGATGATGATTCTGAAATAACATTTAGAAACCCCAAGTCCTGAAACAGTGAACTAAACATAACTAATCTATTCCCTAAGCCAGCTTCATGATCAGGCCAGGCACGAAGTATGTGAGGCATGTTTTCATGCAAGGGATTTAGGAGCTTACACAGGTGAAAGTTGCTAGAAGCTTCTTATAGGATAGAGTCGGAAGGGCTCCCATTCTAACATACTCTCTGTGTATAAGTTTCAGCTTACCTGAGTATAAAATCTAAAGACATGAAATGGCTACAGCATTCTCATCTTGCTATTTAATGTTAACTGAAGCTTTTAGAGGACACTGTTTTGGCTGCTCTGGAACTCACGAGACCCGGGTGCCTCTGCCTCTCGAGCACTGGGAGTAAAGCACGGTTAAAACTGAGCATGCCTGAAAATTTAAGGTGGTAATATGCTTAATTATTGTCAACACGTCTTCATGAGCCTAGCCTAGGGACTCCATTCAGCTGAGCATGCTGTGAGGACCACCTGTGAATCCCCACATGCAAGCCTACATCCTGGCTGGTTGGTGTTTTATCAGTACCCTAGCTTCCTAAAGAGAAAAATTAAGAAAAACGAAAGTTGAACCATTATACATTGTTGGTGGGGATATAGCTAAAAACAGAATTACCACATGACTCAACCGTATCATCCCTGGAGGTAAACCCCAAAGAACTGCTAACTGGCATACCAGAGACACCTGCTCATCCACATTATTACTTTACCATTCCCGACAGTCCAGATACAGGGCCAGCCTAGATAGGTGTAGGGATGAATGGGTAAAGTGCGACACACACACACACACACACACACACACACACAGTCACCTGAGTTTTATTCAGCCATAAACAATGAGAAAATTGTGATCTGCAGAAAAATGGACGGAACTGGAGACCATTAGGCTAAGCAAAATAAGGCAGGTCCAAGAGACACTTATCAGATGGATTTCCCTCCCGTGTGGAATCGGGATTTTATAAAGACGTAACATGAAAGTGTGTGTGGGTAGGTACTTCAAGAGAAGGGACCAGCAGGAGAACAAGACAGAGGAATGAAAATAATGAAGAAAATACCATATCTGTATGAAAACGTCATAAGGAAACCCGCAATTTGTATGCTAATTAAAGAAAAGAAGGGAGCCAGAATTCTAGCACTCACCCTCGGAAGCACCAGGTTTCTCACTTATTCTAATCTGCCGCTCAGGCACCACAGGCTCCCCTTCTGCATTCCCGATGTCTGCAGGTAGGTATGGCAGTGACTGGCTCTCCTCCTTTAACGACCTTGGGAAGTACAGAGGTAGCAGCTTTTGGTAAGTAGCCTGTGTCAGAAAAGTAAGGCATTCTGTGAAAAACAGTGACACACGAAAGCAGCCTGAGCAGAGGTTACTGTGATCCATGCGCTGTGGGGACAGACTGGAGACTGCAGGCCTCACCTCTCTATGCTCAGAGTGCTGCCTGAGAGCCTCGCTCACCCTTTCCATGAAAACACAAGAGACGGCCTACTGGTCAAGTCAAAAGCAATGCCCACCCTGGTCGGGGTCACCAAATCTGGGATGTGTAAGTCGGCCAGTCCTGTCCACATGCCCACCTTTTACTACTCCCTCAGCTGCGCAGATGCTATCTGCTCAAGTTTAGTACACCAGTCTCTATTTGACCTACGTTTAGTTTTTCAGTTTTCTTTAAACAAACAAAAAACAAAAACTATTCTAACTATATCAAAAGGATTGATAGTTTTCACTCATTCTTAGAAATTTTAAAAAAAGATAAATTATACTTTGGAAAAAGAAACAAAGAGCCTCTCAGATGGCTTCATGGATAAGGGCCCCCAAGTCTGATGACGTGAGTTTGACTCTTGTGACCTATGTGGTGAAGAAGACATCCTCTGATGTCCACACATCCACTCCCCCAGCCTCCTCCAAAGTAAAATACATAGATAATTTTAAAAAATTAGGAAGGCAATGGAGGTGGGAAATGAACGAAAACAAAATATAGCAACATATGATATGAAGATGATGAAACCCTTCACTTTGTATGCTAACCTAAAAATTTACTAAGTAACTTCAATGTGCTAAAAATAAGAAATGAACAGGGTTCCTGTCTTATAATCTCCATGTGCAGTCCCCGTGCTCTTTCACAGCACCAGAGCAAATGCAGGCGCTGCTAGTGCGCACGCTTGGTGAAGCACTCTGCCTCTCCTGCGGCCTAGGAATGACTGTGTCGCTACTCAGCATGACTTATCAACTATCCCAAACTTCACAGGCTAAAGAGACGGTCAGAGGTTATGGGCGCTTGCAGCTCTTCCAGAGGACCCACGTTCCATTCTCAGCATCCACACTGGGCAGCTGACAACCATCTCTAACTCTAGCTCCAACACTTTCTCCTAGTCTCCAGGGATATCTACACTTAAATGTGCATAAACTCATGTAAGTACACCTTCATATACATAAATATAAAATAAAATGGATAATTCTTTAAAAAAGGACTAAAAGAATGATAACAAAAAGTCATGGAATTGAATACTGGTCAGTGAAATCATTCAAGAAATCAGTATTATACACAGAACTACAACATTTCTTAAAGAGAAGCCTGGAGACATTAGATTTGTACCTAAAAAAAATACAGATAGGCTGGGTGTGGTGGCACATGCCCTTAATCCTCAGCCTTGGGAGGCAGAGATAGGCAAACCTTTGTGAGTTTGAGGCTAGTTTGGTCTATATAGTGAGTTCCAGGCCAACCAGGTCTATAAAGAGAGACCTTTTCTCAAAGCAAAACAAAACAAAACAAAAAACAAATTAAAAAAAAAACCCAGAAACAAGCAAACAAATGTAGACAGGGTCAGCATTAGGCTCAGCTCGTCAACGTGCCTGCTATGCAGGCCTGGCCACCTGAGTTCAATCTATAAAAAAACTGCAGGTGGGGAGGAGAGACCAATTCTACAAGCTGTTCTCGGACTTCTACACGTCATGGCACAGAGTACAGGCATACTTACACACACACACACACACACACACACACACACACACACACACTCACATGCTCTAAGCTTTTTAAAGAATTCATATACCATAAAACTAACCTGTTGAAAATACAGAATTCAGTGACTGTTGGTATATTCTCAAAGCTGTGCAATCACCACCATCTAATTCCAGAACACTGACATCACCCCAAACCAACCCATCAGCAATCTTTCCCTACAATTCCTCTTACCAAACCCTGAGCTACCAATTGTTCTGTCTAAATAGATGTGCCTATTTGGAAGATTTCAATAAAACAAAATACAATTTGTAGCCTTTTATGTTTAGTTTATTTCAGTTAACATGTTTTCCAGGTTCACTTTTTAACATGTATCCATAATTCATTCCCCCAAGGATGAATACTACCCTATATATGCTCTACATGCGCTCATCGATAAACAATGCTGCTATAAATATTCACCTTCACATTTTAAATATTTTCGCATATACTACTACTGTATTATACTGTAACTTTGGTGTCTCACTGTAGTTTTGGCTTGCATTTCTATAATGGTCAATGTTGTGAAGTGTCTTTATACCGGTCATTTGTAGGCATACAACTCTTTAAGAAATGAGTACTACCCATGCTTTCAATTTTTTTTTTTCTGTATTTCAGGTTTTCCCATCTTAGAAAGCTTACTAGCAAGGGAACACTGCCCTTCCCAGGGCTCTCTGACTTCTAAAATCAGTACTAATTTACTTGGAAATATGTCTTGTCTGTGCAAACCAACCAATGCTACTCCTGCTACTCCACTTCCCTATTTTAGCAAAGCACTGACAGCTAAATGACTGCTGAATAAATACCAGAAGCTCTAAAGCTAGGGAAGCCAGTGAGATAAAAACAAAGCTCTGACTTTCTAAATGGACCGAGTTTAAGGAACGTCTCTCCTCCCCGGCCCCCAAAAGCAAACATAAACTCGCCAACCTTGTGCCACAGGCTTGGCTACTACCCATGCAGTCAGGCAGGCAGCGAAGCTTCACCAGCACAGGAGAAGTGCTGCTAAAACCTGGGGACCTAGCATTCAGGTTACAAGGCCATCCCGAGTGTTAGCAGGAGCAGCTGGCAGAACTGCCCGCCTATGCCATTCCACTTATGAAGGCAACAGATAAGCAGTAAAATTGTGACTCAAACTCTCCTTCTTAGATTGGTGGTACACGCCTGTATTCCAGAACTTGAGGCAGAGGCAGGGAAACTGAGAGCCAGTAAGCCTGGTTCACATGGTCAAACAGTGTGGATCCTTCTACACTTGTTTTTAGAGTCCAACGTAATTCTTTTTCAATGAGTGAGCATTAAGTTCCACTGCCACGAATTTATTTAAATCATTACAATTATGTGCTTCAGATTCAGCGAACAGATGATGACAGATGAATGTAACACATGTAGAATTAAGACTCAAATTAAGCAAAATAGTTAGTAAAATACCTCTTCGAGTTCAGAGACAGCAAATACTACTTTTTCAATGGTTTCCCCATGGATCTCTAGGAACCGCCTCACAGTACCTAAGGAAGAAAATAGGAAGACATTCAGTGTTAAAACCCAGCTATGTTAATGTAATGGGCCCCCCTTCACTTCATCAGCCACCGCTAAATTATTCCCACCAGAAAAGCCTGCTGCTCTTTCCTTCAGAGTGGCTGTAGCAGACATCATTCAGGCCCCTTTATGGCATGTCCTCTCTGTTCTCAGCCTTCCACTCTCCCTAAGGTGCCACGGCAGGAGCTTTACTGCATTGCTGCTCTCGTGTCTAGTGTCTGTGACAGCAGGTGGCTACAGAAGATGCTGAGTCAGACTACTGTCCCTTTTCCAGCAAGTTCTTTATTTCCCCGGGGCCTCCCTGTGGCCAGAACGACCTAGCGCAAATGGAAAGCATAGTGCCTTTCTACTCTTCAGGTACAGCCTTAGACGAGCCACTCAGCCCATTCCACTCACAAAACCAAAGCTGAGTGCTCTCTTTCTCTCCCGCCCCCCTCCAGGGTTTCTCTGTGTAGTTGTGGCTGTTCTAGAATTCACTCTGTAGTACAGGCTGGCATTGAACTCAGATCCGCCTGCCTCTGCCTTCCGAGTGCTGGGATTAAAGGTGTGCGCCACTACCAATCAGCAAGTTATTTTTTTCTTAACCTCTATCCCATCCTGATTTTTCTCTATTGAGACCCAATGGCCCAATCTTAAATATCCCTGGCTTTGGTCCTTTATGCCCATGCACTGCTTTCTAAAACTGCCCCCATTTTTTTTTGTTTTCTTGATGTATGTATACTCCATAGCTCACCAACTTGTTAATTAAATTTAACTTCAAATGCTGATGGTTCCCAAATTGTACAATCTTTCCGAATTAAAGAATGGAACTGTTTACTGCTTACTGAGAATATTTACCGAGATAATCACAGACACCTCAAATTTGGAGAGTCTAACTCCTATCTTCTTTCTATATTCCAAGCAGTCACTCATATCGGAATCCTTGATTTTATGCACATGAGCATTTGCCTGCATACATTATATATCCACCACCTATGTGCCTGGTACCCAAAGAGACAAGATGTAGGTGTGGGACCCTCTAAAACTGGAGTTATAGATGGCTGTGAGCTGCCATGTAGCTGTTAGGAACTGAAACCAGGTCCTCTCCAAAAGCAGCAAGTGCTTTTTAACCTGAGCCATCTCTCCAGCTTCACAATTAAAAAAAAATTATGTATTTACTGTGTGTGTACACCCTGGTGCAGAGCTCAGAGGCCAACTTTCAGGATTAGTTCTGTCCTTCTGGCTTGTGGCTTCCAGGGTTAACCTCTGGTCATCAGGCTTGCTGAGCTATTGGCTGGCCCCCGGATTTCTTTGGTATTCCCCGTTTCTTTGCCTTTAGTTCACATTGTCAAGTGGTTTCCATGTACAATCTTGTAAGTCTACTGCTAACATTTCCAATAGCCATCCTTCACTCTCAGCTGCCCTCAAGCTCTTAATGCTCACAAGCTTTTGGCAATAAACTCTTAAATGGTCTCTGTTCCTTTCATTTCCAAGACGGCAACTTCTGCTGCCTGGGCAATCTTCTTATGATACCTTCCTTAGGAGACACTTGCAATGGGGCTGCAACCCTTGTAAGTTAAGGTTCAAAGTTCCTACATGACTTGCCACACTGTCACAACTAACCACCTCCTAAGTCCTATTTCCAATTGTTCCTCCCACATACCTTCTGCTGTCACTTAAGTTCTATCTGGTGGTAGGCTAGTTCTGACCAAAACACATTGTTCATCCACTCTCTTCTTTCCTGAATCTCTGATTATTTTTCAAGGTCCTGACATAAGTCATCTTTGTGTAGAATTCTACCCTTCCCAGAATTCCTCTATACAGAATCTCCTGCACTCCTATACTTGGTTCAAATTCAATGTAGGAGTTCTCAAGTTTACAATAGGCTTAATGAGCTATATAGTACCATGGTAAGTTGGAAAACTTCTGTGATATTCTGAGCATTTTTTTGTCTGTCAACTAGATTGTAGACCTATTTAGCCCAAGTATATCTTATATTAATATTATATTAACGGAAGTCTAGTAGAACATGGAGACCTGCACTTATTCAAAATAATTCATGGCCCTAAGTAATGCAGTCCACGAATCTAGCACAGTAGACTCATTTGTTGAGAGCAGAATAAAGATCTGCAACTCTGCTGCTGCTAGGTGCAAATCTGTTTTTTACTTCTCCTTCCAACATGCTTTCATTCCTTTCTCTTAAAGCAGCTTCCATAAAGGGGTGTTCTTTCATACTATTTATATTACATAAAATGTTGACACTCATCGGAATTGTACTTTAACATAGTACTGTGTGTTTCCTATGGAAGGGAAAATGAGAAGTAGTAATCAAATCAAATTCTCTCAATGGTGATCATTTAGAAGGAGAATTCTGCCAGGAAAAAGAATGACATTGACCTCATGACTCAAGGATTTCCTCATGTCATCCTACACTGTTCCTTTCAGTTGCATCTGTGCTCTCTTCTTGGCAACCAAACAGGATGTCACATGCTTTATATTTACGAAGATGCTTTAACTAGTGAAAGTGACATCCAGGATATTAATACCTCCAATATGGGGGAGCATGGAAGATAAGTACAAACATCATGGGCTTCTATTCTTACCGCTGCAGAGCAGTAACTCAAATTCTTGTTGAATAAATAACCTAATAATTTTACTTCAATGTTGATGTTTATGGTTTCTCAAAGGATTTACCTGTACATGAACTAGGGAAAAATGATACTATAAAAACTTTGGTATACTGATTAAGACAATATTAGGTTTTTGTATAAAAGTTTTGCTGATTAATAAGCAAGAAAGTTCTTGATTTGAAAGATGAATTATGTTAACAGATTAATTCTTAGCATGCTTACAATGTACATGTTTACAAGACATTCATTATCTTCAAATTCCAGAAAGCATACTATTGTCTCTGTATTTGTTTGTTCTGAAAACAATGCTCTAAATTTTACTGTATTTAAGGTCTAGGAACAACAGTCCTCATACCATTTGACTTGGTCACTTTTAAGACGTATATGCTTCCTTTATGCCAGTTACATTCCTAGAAGTTGTTTCACTGAAGACCCATCTTCCCGCTACTGACCATTATCTGTTATTGTGAGTTACTCTTAGGACTGCAGAGGTGGGGGGACTGAAGTATTACCAAGCAGTAAAGCTATACTTTGGACCATTTACCCAGGACAATGTACATAAGAGATTTCACATAACAGTATTTAAGGAGGGTGTGCAGATGCTGTATCAGTGTTCCTAGTGACGAGAACCTCACTAGGATAGTTCCACCTCAAAGAAACCAAAGCTCCTCCCTTGTAATGTCTACAGTAGAATGCTTCCTATCACCTTTATCCCCTTTCCAGGGATCTGTAAAGGTCTTAGAGTAGCTTTAAAGTCTGTATTTCTCAACACTGTTTTAGATAAGGCACTAGGGCATTCTTTTGATGGATGCACAATGTAGATTATGATGATACTCCAACCCCTGCAAAGAATCACTTCAAAAAATGTACTAAAGCATAAGGCCCCTTTAGAGTCTTTTTTATTTGAAGATGAGTATCATATCTGCAAAAAAGCATACCACTGATGTTTTAAGTGACTTGCCCTTGTCTGTCAATGTCTTATGAGCTGTGACCTAAAATGTATGGAGTACACTGAGGTCCTGGACTCTTGAGCTGAGTATCAGATTGTTTTTCTGGGAACTGAACCCAGAGACCCACACACCCTAAGCACACACTCTACCACTGACCTATACCCTGAGCCCAACAGTATACATCACCGTGGGTCAGCTTGGGCTCAGTGATTTTTTTAAACCTAAACACACAGTTTTATACTAAGAGACCTTGTGAAGGGTTCTGTCTAAAGAGGAAAATACTATGCAAATATATTATGAATTCGCTTTTGCTGCTTTTTTACCAACTGTTAAGATTGTTCTTATTTTGATTCAACTGTCCATTGCATTGCTCATACTTTCTAGTTTGGTCTCATTTTCAAACTTAATGAGAAAGTCTTGTAATCCTTTATGCATGGGTATAAATTACACCATTTAAGAAATTCAGTAAGAACTCTGTAACTGACCAATGCAAATTACTCAGAATGCCACGAGGTTCATCAAATCAATGGGTCTTCCTTGGTTATAATTTTATCTAATAATTAAAAAGTTAAAGAACTTGACTTCCGTGTGGCACTGCAGCGTGACTTACGAAGTGCAATGTGTGTTGCGTCTTCTAGAGGATAACCTCGCTTCGCAGAATTGATGACACAGAAGCCAACGGAAGACATGGACTGTTCTCTGCAATCAGATAGAAAACCCAAAAGTTGTACTGAAACAACTATCTACATACACTATCCATAGGTGATCTCAAAACACAAGCCAGCATCTCCCACCAATAAATTTACAAGCCAACTCAACTGTATTATTTGATAATTAAATTAATGTAAAATTTAATCATACTCGTTGAGAGATAATATCTGAGCCCTTCAAACTTTGATTTCCACAGGGGAGGTTTCATCTTTAACAGAGCGTGGGGGAATGGCCATACTTTGCCAGCTGAAGCACGTTTCTGTAACAGCTGTACAGGGAACTCTCCGCTGCAGTGCGATAGCGGCTTTTATACTTAGGTCCCACTGTGTGAATGATGAACCGAGCAGCTAGGTTAAAGCCTTTCGTCAATTTTGCTTCACCTGTTCGGCAACCTGGGAACAATGGGAACACATAAAAGCTTGTAAAGATCAGGTAAACACGAATATGCAAAGCATAGAACAAAAGTGGATTAAGAACTACGAGGAATGTCATTTAAAAATAGGACCGAATACAAGCATTGCCGTCTGTTCCTTCTGTTCTCGCGGCAGTGAAGCAGGACAGCAGATGCAAGCACAAAGAAGGTGGGAAGATGCAAGCAGAGAAGCACCACCCGGGTTTGCAAGGGGAAAGTTAATGGACCATGGGTAACAGGATTAGCAAAGGAGAGGAACCAAACAGCCTGCAAGCAGTATGAAGCTGACTGTACTGAAGGGCGGAGTCAGATTTAAAGCTGACTGCTTTATTTAAGTACTAAAGTATTCATGTGTGAACTCTGGGTATATTCATGGTGCTTTGAATTCCTCCTTAAGGGGGATACTGGCCTTATAAGATTAAATGAGTTGAATTATGCAAAGTACACACATGTAGCATTGGTTATTGTTATTTCATGGAGAAAACTAAAAAGACTTTGAATTACTTCTCAGACTATGCTATATGCTCAGACTATGACGCAAAGGCTGGGGTTGCAGGTGTATACAGTCAATCAAATCCACAACAACCCTTTCTTGAGCCAGCACAGCAAGTTATGACTTCTTTCCTTATCACTGACACAAGAGAACAAGAGGCTATTCTCTGAAGATGTTAAATTAAGAAATTTCTGAAATCCAGAACCCCAGGACAACTGAAAAGAGGGGATTTAGTTAAGTGTTAAAGTTGTCAGGAAAAGGTCTAGCTGCCTGACACCATCAGTTGTCCAACATGGATATCCAATGCCCAAGAGAACGGCAGGATATCTGTTCTACTTAAGATCCACCAACCGACAACCTTGCTGTTGTTACAGAGCAAATGCTTGCACGCCCCTGCCACTTCCTATGCTGAAATGTCACTCTAACATGTGATGGCATCCGGGCTGGTGTCTTTGAAAGGTGAGAGGAATGAGACGAGATCATGCTGGTCCTCACAAAGAGGATTAATATCTTTCCAACACAATCCAGGGATTGCTTCCTCTCATGTGAAGAAGTCCAAATCCTCCTGAAGACTCTGATCTGCTGTCATCCTGATTCCAGAACTCCAGATCCGCAAATGGGGAGGATTAAATGCTTGTTGATTATAAGTCACGCATCATCTGTACTTCTTGAGTAGTTTGAATACATTAAGCAGCTAAGCACAGTGGACCACACCTGTAATCCCAGCACTCAGGAGGATGAGAGAGGGCGTCCAAGTTTCAGGTCATGTTTTGGGCTACATACAGTAAGTTCTAAGCCAGTATGGGCTACACAGACACTACCTTACACAAACAGGCAAATGAATAAGACATGCACACACACACACACACCTCATTAGCTTTTCAGTTCCCCCAAAACAGCACTAACACTTAAAAACCACTAAAAAGAGAGGAAGTCCCTGACTAAAACAGAAACAGAGAATACCAACTATTGCTCGTGACATCAAAAAGCAGTGTGGAGACTTAGAAATGATCAAAAGTCCTGACACTAGAACCATGACCCTCAGAGATATATGAGGAGATGAAGGGCCTCTGAGTCAAGGCCAGAATGGTGTTTTAAAAAAATATATAGACGGCAGAAAACAGCACGTACTCCTATTTGCTGCAGACTACCAAACTATGAGGAAAAAAAAAACTCAGTAGGGGCTGAGACTACAGTTGAGAAAATGACCCCAAGAGCAAAACAAAGGGAAATTAAGAGAATAATAAAACTGGAAGACAAAATAAGAAAGTACAGCATGCAGTAAGATTCCTTCATAGAGAGAAATAGGGAAGCAAAGAAAAGTAAGAAATACCCCAGAACTGAGCACCACATTCCTCACTCCCCAGTGATCTTTAGGTGCTGCTGTTTGAGAAGCTAACAGGAGTAGCGGGTCTATGATCTAAAGGCCTCAGGTGGACTGAGGCACTCTGGACAGGAAGGCGAGCGACTGCTAATTCCTGTGGGAGTTTCTGATCAGATCAGAAGATCCACATACCAAACCTGCTACTATCTGCCACTTCCAGACTGCAGGGGAACTGCCCTGCAGATAGACTCTTCCATCTCCAAAGTCCCCGCTTTTCTGTCCCATAAGACCCCAAGACCCCCATGCCATGTGTGCACAGTCTCACTCATACACGGAGAGTGTGGCCCTTCAACCATTCTGATTAAAGAACACTCCTGCCTCTGCAGGAGCCTGTCTTTCCTTCAGCCTCTATCAATCTATATCTAATGAGGAGCATGTGCGCATGTGTGTCTCACTTGTCTGCCTGTTTGTTTAAAGGGGTGTCTAGTGTGGCCTGTACTGGCTCTTCTTACTGTATATAGCCCAACCGGCCTCAAACTCGGACTCCTCCATCTCCTGAATGCTAGGACTGTAGGTGTGGGTCACCACACTTGGCTTCTTAAAACACTCAAGTTGCTGACAAAGTGCAACTTACAGATGGCTTAAAACCAACAGATAGTTAATTCTTCTAGTTCTTGGGTCTGGAAGTCTGAAACCAGGGTGGCAATCAAAATACACAAGCCACACAAAGGCAACTCATTATGAAGTTTTAGCACATCAGAAATAAAGATGGGATCATAAAGCTCCCAGAAACAAAGGGATAACACACAAGTAAAGACTGCTGGGTTCATATTTTTTTTTCATGTGTTTTGTTTTGCCTGCATGAGTACTACAAGCATGCAGCGCCCACAGACGCCAGAAAAGAGGGAACAATCCTCTGGAACCTTGGGGTAACGTTAACTGAAAGACCTGTGTAAGAAAAGAACTTTAAATCTTTGAAGATAGAAATTGAAGAAGACATCATAAAATGGAAAGATCTTGCATGTTCTTGGATAGGTAAGATCAACTTAATAAAAACAGCAATCTTACCAAAAGCAATTTACAGATTCAATGCAATCTCCATCAAAACCCAAGCACAGAGTTCTTCATAGACCTCAAAAGCACAACATTCAACTTCAAATGAAAAAACAAAAAACCCAGGATAGCCAAAACAATCCTATACAAGAAAAAAATTCCAGAGGCATCACCTTGCCTGACTTCAAGTTCTACTATGGAGCAATAGTAATGAAAAAAGCTTGGTATTGGCATAAAAACAGACAGGTAAAACAATAGAATTGAATTGAAGACCTTGATATTAATCCACACATGTATGAATACTTATTTTTGACAAAGAAGATAAAATTATAAAACAGAAAAAAGAAAACATATTCAACAAGTGGTGCCGGCATAACTAGATGGCATCATGTAGAAGAATGCAAATAGATCCATATCTATCCCCATGCACAAAACATGCATTTCCAAATGGATCAAAGACTTCAACACAAATCTGACCACACTGAACCTGACAAAACAGAAAGTGGGAAGTAGCCTTCAATGCATGGGCACAGGAGACCACTTCCTAAATATAACACCAGTAGCACAGACATTGAGAACAACAATTAAGAAATAGGACCTCCTGAAACTTAGAATCTGTAAGGCAAGGATGTGGTCAATAAAACAAAACGACAGCCTATAGAATGGGAAAAGATCTTCACCAACCCCACATAGGATAGAGGACCGATCTCCAAAATATATAAAGACCTCAAGAAACTAGATATTAAAATACCAAATAATCCAATTTAAAAATAGGACACAGATCTAAATAGAGATGTCTCAACAGAAGAATATCAAATTGCTGAGAGATAATTAATGAAGAGCTCAACATCCTTAGTCATCAGGGAAATGCAAATCAAAATGATTCTGAGATGCCATCTTATACTAGTCAGTATTGCTAAGATCAAAAACACCGATGATAGCTTATGCTGGAGAGGATGTGGAGTAAGGGGAACACTCCTCCATTGCTGGTGGGAAAGCAAACTGATACAGGCACTTTGGAAATCAGTATGGCAGTTTCTCAGAAAATGGGGAATCAATCTACCTCAAGACCTAGCAATACACTTTTGGAGTTACAGATGGTTGTGAACCACCATGCCAGTGTTGGGGAACCAAACCTGATCCCTCTACAAGAGCAACAAATGCTCTTACCATTGCACTATCTGAAGCTCTCAGGTTGCAGGATTCAAAGGCGGCATTGAAATGGACTGAGGTAAGAAGTTTATTAGAAGAGTTATACACTGTGGACAGACAAACAACAGCACAGGAGATACTCCAAGGAGGAATCAGGCCCTCACAGAAGATTCAGAGTCCTTCCTGACAGGTCTCTGAGGAAGGAGGTAGGTTTCAATACAAGTCTCCACCCAGGTGCTCATATTTCCTAGCAAGTGGCAGGAAAGAGGGTGAGCAAAGGGATAGTGGCTGTCTGCTGTGTCCCAGCTTAAAAACTCATTTCCCCAAGTGAGTATCCAGGAAGTCTGGTGCATTAGCTGGGGATTTAGACAATGCTCCCATGGGGTGTCTGTGAGGCTAAGGACGGGGCTGCAGGGATAGGAGCCTGAACAGCAGATTGGTCTGGATTCTAATATTCAAGAGAAGAAGTGAAACAATAGGGCAATGCCTTCAAAGTTTAGAAAACAAGTTCCAAACCAGAATTCTTTCAGTCAAATTTCCAATTAAGCATATCCTTTAATATGGTAAAGCACAGAACACAACAAGGTTCATAAACATGGCCTCAAAGTTTACTATAGTGTGAAGAGACACATACTAACTGGCACCACAAGTAAATCAGACAAATAAAAGAGCCAGGGCAGCTTGGAAAACAACTGAGTTCACTCCAAACATCAGTATTGTAAGAAGCAGCTGAGCTGGATCAAACCCAGAAATCAACAACATAAAAACAAGATCAGTGTGTGCTCCTTATGGAATACAAGGTTTCGATAAAGTAACTTCAAAAAACATTTCTGGGCAGCTGGAAATGTTACCTATAGTCTGGGTATTAGATCTAATTTCTGAAACTAAACGGTAGAATGCATTTTCTAAAGAAGACACTATGTATGCTACCATTCTGAGAACAGTATACAATTTCTCTTTCTAGGAAGGTACAGGAGACTAGCTTAAGGACTCTGGAGGACCACCAAATGGTTTGAAGTAGGGGGGGCGAAGGTACTGGAGACTAGCTTAAGGACTCTGGAGGACCACTAAATGGTTTGAAGTAGGGGGGCAATAAGAAGGTGTTCATAGTTTGCTATGTAAACACCAGTTAGTGTGTGGAAAATGGATTTCACAGAGAATAAATGTAGGGAGACCAGTTGGTGGGGAGGGAGGGAGCGAGTGGTAATGGAGTGAAAAAGAGATACAAGAAATTTAGGACTTGATGACAGACTTTGTAGGAAGGGTAAGGAAGAAGGATGAGTTAACTCAGGTTTTCTGAATAAAAACAGGATGGAAGATCTGTTACCCTACCTTACAGTAAGCACTTCATATGTGCAAGAAATACCGTCAAACCAGCTCCTGGCCTGACCCTGTCTAGCGTTCTAAATTTACTGTAAAACTATAGTACTAATATCTATCAATTTTTGTTTCTTGGCTTATATTTCCAGTCAGTTCATTTGATATCTGCTCTTAGCTTTCTATCATAAATCTAGTAAATCATAACCTGTCATCATTAACTAATTTAATAAAAATGTGTAAAGGGGGAAGGGGGCAGAGTCACACACTGAGACCTTCAGCAGCCACTGATAGCCTTTTCTTTCAGGTCAGCAATGGGCCTTCAAACAAGAGAAAACTAACCGGCAGCAGCAGAAGCAACAGACTCTGACTTCCCTATCATACCTGAAGTCTACTGTGCTATTTGATCCGTGTACTAATTTATTAATGGAGCCTACAGCAACAGAACTTGATTCTCCCTATCAAACTCAAGTCCACCACGCCATTTGATCTGTGCATTAGTTTATTAGTGGTACCTACAGCAACAGACTATGCCAAATGGTTTGCGTGATACTCAGTTTTTTAATCAAAAGTATTTACTAAACTTTTGCTCTGTGCCAAGAACTGAGGCAGGATTACCATGACCATGCCAACTTGAGAGATGAGAAGACTCGGACTGAGCAGTGATGTCACAGTCTCCAGTCACACACCTGGTATAGGGGAGCATTACAAAACGAACCAGAGCTAAACACTAACAACTACCAAATAGTCTGTCAAATCCTGGGTTTTTATTCTTTATAAGTAAAAATTAAATTTAAGAGGGATAAATTTGGTGTAAAATCGTGCTAGCCCTTCCACTCTCTCTATTTCAAAGTCTCATTCTAGGATGCATGAGCATGCGCATGCATGCGAACCCCCATAAGGGGAGTTTCCACATTGGCTTCTCTCTTCCCTTTACCAAACAACTTTGCAGTATTTTCTTAAAGATCCTTCCTAATTTTCATGTTTTTAATAGCATCTTGCTATAGTTTGATTAAAGGTGTTTCCAACCCTCCTCAGTACTCCATGTTCTCTACTTCCTGGCTTGCTCCTCATGGCTTGCTCAGACTGCTTTCTAATAGAACCAGGCTCACCAGCCCAGGGAGAGCCCTGCTCACACACCCACCACTAATTAAGAAGATGCCATCTAGGCTTGACTACAGCCCCATTTCATGAAGACATTTCTTAGTTGAAGTTCCCTCTTCTTAGATGACTAGTTTGGATCAAGCTGATAAAACTAGCGAGCATGCCTGTCATTTTAAGGTTCATTGTGTGACTGATGAATTGCACTGCTAGTGAAATCTTAGGGCCTGGCTTTTTGTGCACCGTGGGGACTGCAAAGGATACTACTAGTTTCAACAGCAGGAACTCAGTTTTATATGCAGTGTTTTTTCCAAAAACACCTGACACACTTCTTCATGATAGAAGACATTAAAAATATTCCCTGAGCGATAACACGCCTAAGAGCGTCCAGTCACCTTTAAGTTTCTGTAGGTCCTCCTTCAGATCTGGCCCCGCAAGCATGAAGATACTTTCTGACACGGGATTCTTATCTGTGAGGCTTTCATTGCTGGTATTCACAATGGCTGTACAGTTCAGTAATGCCACGTCTCCTTTCCTGTGGAACCAAAGGATAAAAAAGCAGTTGTGGGAAAGAGGAAGGAGATAACTGGCCTAGTTTCTAATTTCTCCAAAACCTTCTATCTCTGCAATATTGGCTTTGCTAATTCCCAAGCCAAGAAATAGCAAAAAGTAGAAACAGAAGCAAATGCTTGGCTCACAATTAATCTGGTACCTGTGAGCTTTACTGTAACTGCTCCAACCCCAGAATTCACAAAGTCACCATGCCATACATTTGCCCTTCGCCACATTGCCTTCATTAAAACAGAATATTCACACAGTTGGAAGTAGTTGCTTTAAAAAGTTTAGAAACAGCAGCAGTCATAATAGCCAAGAGAATATAACAACCTAACTGTCCATCAACTAGTGGGCTGATAACGTGTTCTTAGTGTGCACACACGGAACACTGCTGAGCCATGAAAAAGAAGCAGTCCTTTGTACTGGAGTGAAAACATGGTACTAAGTCCAAAAATCTCACTGTGAAACTTCATGTATGTGAAACGTCCAACACAGGCAAACCAGCGCAGAGATTAATTCTGAAGAAGATGGGACTATCACTGTCTTAACCGTGAGGAGGGTTTCACAGTTGCATGAACATAGTAACATTTACGCTGTACATTTAATTCTGTACACTTTGCTGTACGATAATTATACCCCAACAAGGCTGTATGTGTAAAAGCAGTATTTCAATAAGGCTAGGACTTAAATAAAAAAGAACTTTAGAGGAAAATAATGAGGATTCATACACAGTACGATATAATGAAAAAATTACCAAAGAACCACTTTTCCATTAATGTCCCGATTATAAAGAAAAGGCGATCTGATGGTGTCCTCCTGGAATGCCTCAGCTGTGCTGTCATGGGAGTTTAATTCATCTTTATATGAGTCACCCCAACTTAGCAGGGTGTCCACATCCACAAACTGGGAAGGTGCACCCAAGGGATCCATGGAATGGGAACTTCAGCTTGTATCTCAAACTTCTCAGCAATTCAGCAATCCCGGGAGACTTTAGCTAAAAAGAGAAGAAGAAATCATTTTAAACAAAAGCATAAATGTTACTCACAAATATTACTTTAATTCTACTAAGCCAAACAAAGCAAACTCTCCTGTGGAAGGAATGAGCCAAGAGTACACTATGTGTTCACAGTCACTGTAATGGTCAATTAAAACAAGGACAAAAAAAAAAAACTTCTAAAAAATGGGAATAAGGAGGGATTATATAAGCATAAATTCCTTTCAATAACTGCAACCCTTGTGATCAAAATCATCACAAAAATCACACCAGTTCTATTTTTCTGAAAGGACTATTCATTCAACATTCTCTGAATACCCACTATTGCAAAATAAGTAAATAGAATGCTCTATGACATGCTATAAGATATAAATTGATTATATACATATATAAATTAAATAATTTCATTTGATAATATGCGTATAAGTTAGTAAAACTGAATGAGACAAGGAAGTCCCTACACTTAAGTAGTAAGAGCTAATAAAGGTAAGGAATAAAAGAAGATAAACGAGGCTTGGATTTAAGAGACAGCATATGGGAGCTAGAAAGATGGTTCAGCAATTATGAGTGTATACTGCTCTTGAAGAGGATCTGAGTTTGTTTCTTAGCTCCCATGTTAGGAAGCACACACCACTTATAACTCCAGCTAAGTTATATGATGCCCTCCCTCTTCCGGCACCTGCATTCATATATATGCACAGACCACGCATAGACATACACATATATACCTAAATATATATATATAGTGAAATGTTTTTTTTTTTTTTTGATTTTTCGAGACAGGGTTTCTCCATAGCTTTTGGTTCCTGTCCTGGAACTAGCTCTTGTAGACCAGGCTGGCCTCGAACTCACAGAGATCCGCATGCCTCTGCCTCCCGAGTGCTGGGATTAAAGGCGTGCGCCACCACCGCCCGGCGCAGTGAGATGTTTTTAAAAACGAAGTAACATACAGAGAAAAAATGAACAGGATCTAGCCATACACAAGGTAAGATATATGGGACTGCCCATGGTAGAGGAAGAAGAAGGTTATAGAAAGACATACAGCAGCATTTAGAGCGGGACTTGGTCATGGAAATCACCGAAGAAAGAGATGCTCAACTTACCACTGAGTCCTATGGCTGTTTCAGTGAACAGCTGACTCATTCATCTACTCTAACTCCGTAAGCACTTGGTGCACATTAGGTACTGTTCTAGGTCCTGGGAATACGGGTCACAGCGCATTTCTACCTTAGGGAGCCCATGCGTCCCCAGAGAAGAAAGGGGAGGATAACAGTGTAAATGGACTGCATTACGGAGAAAGGTGACGTGTGAGGAGCAAGTTAAATTGAGAAAGCAAAACAGGAGGGAAACAGTCAGGGCAACGACCAAAGGGCAAGAAGAAGTGAGCCGCAGTCCAAGAGGAGCCAGGGAGTCACTCTGTCTGGAGAATCTAATAGGTAATGAATTGATGACGGAGGTGGTGCAGAGGAATGCTAAATGATGCAGTTTTAAGTCATGCCAAAATCCTTAGCTCTTACTCTAAAGATGAAAGAAGCCACTAGAAGGTCTTGACCACCACAACTAAATACACTGAAAGACAACTCTAGTTAGGGAAAGCAAGAGGGACAAGAGTAGCAGTAGAAAATAGAGGCAGGAACTTAGGAGAGAGTGGCCATGAGAAATGTCAGATTTGAGAGATAATGGACAGGTAGAACCAAAGGACTTTCATAGAAATACAGAGGGTGAGGAAGCACATAAGCCAGACAATAGCTAGACTGCTTGCTTGAGCAACTGAGTAGGATAACAATGCTATTTATAGAAAAGCAAGATTGGAGTTAAGCTGTAGGGTAAAGGAAAAACAATGACTTTCCCTTCCCATATGGCTTTTCAAATATGCTGATTCAAAATGCTAATTACCTGGCCATGTGCTTATTGTCAAACTGACAACTGGAAGCTTGAAGCTAGAGCTCAGAGCAGAGGTTCAGCTAATAGATCTAGAAGTCTCAGCTTGTGCAGTGCTGAAAGCTACAGGAACTAGATAAGACTGCCTGCAGAGCGAATGCAAACAGGGAAAAAGAGCTCCCAGGACTGAGTCCTACAGCAAAATGTGTACTAAGAAAGACTGAATGGGAGAGAGAAGGCTGGTAAGAAGGAAGGAAGCCCTGCAAAGGTGGCAGAGGAAGGCCAATAGAAGAGGGTATTCGTGGAGTGCTTCAGGAGGACAGTCAGAGCAGATGCTACCAAAGGACTAAGTGGGCTCAAGAAGTGAACAGACAGATGAAGACTGAAGAAATTCAATCTGGGAACTAGTTTTTAAACAGCTTCTTGACATGATACCAACATTTATTGTCACATTCAAGGAGAACACACATGCTCTTCCAAAAATAATTTATTGGTGTTTCTTGGTGAGAGGCACAGATACTAAGTACGAGATACGCTAATTCTTTTACATACATTGTTAGGAAGAAGTGTGGTCATTCACAGCAGTTTAAAAAAAAAGATCTTGTAAGATTATACCAGGATAATTTGTCTTAGTGTTCAATATTTATACTAAATACTTCTTTAAAACTGGTTTTTCTAGATATTATACTTAGTTCACAATCAGCCTTTGAACCTGGAGGCAAACCTAACTTTGCTATATGTTTTCAAGTACTCAGACTTGCTCAAGGCAAACTGAACAGAGGACAAGTACCACTCACTCAATGTAATGACTATCTGCAGAAATTCTTGATTGCAAAAAAACATGCTGACACATGCTCAAAGTTCTTAGTCATGAGAGAGAGATAGAGAGAGAAAATTCATGGAACACATAAACGGCTTCAAGACTGCAAACGTGCATGTCAACTTTCAGGATGAAATTGCTTTTTAAATTTATATTTCTGACTCTAACACCTGCTTCTAGAAGATTTGAAAGTAAACAAAAAGTTAAATGATCAAGAAAAAAATCTCAACTTTGGTGTAGCTCTCCTTTATTCCTGTGACAGAACTAAAACCATATTATGTGCATAACTTTGAACCTAGCTTCTCTTAACTACTGTCAGGTGACAAAATTACACAGTGCAACAGCGCAAGGTGGCATAATGCAAGTCATGAGCCCCTGTGTTCAAGGCCTAAGTTCAGGTTCCTGACTCATCATCTGTGAGCTGTGATCCTTGGGGTAAAGCTAGAGTTTCTATCGAAGCAGCTGTGATTAATCCAGGCTCAATGTGAAGACTAAATGTTCTGAAACCACAGAGACCTGACGCAAAGCCAGGCACAGTGAATGGCCTCTTAAGATGTCCTCAGGGCCAGTGCAACCACAGTCAGGATGAAGTTATATTTCCACATGCATCAAAGACTCAAAGTCCTCACTGTCAAATCATCATGCAAGAGAAAAGCTGGGTGCTGAGCTAAATTACAGACATACAGATCTTGGTCATGGTTTTTCTTGCCATGTCTTGTTAATCCCTGAATAGCCCAACATCTGTCTGTTCCTATGCCACAAGGGTATGGAAGCACACAAGCTTGTAAGGAAAGCAATCTTGACTACATGCCCCTCCACCAACACTACTCTTTTACTCATTCCCATCATCTCTCCAAGTGACTCCCAACAGCACCTGCAGAAAGAATCTTTAGAGTCCTTCGGTGACAATCGCCTTTGGCATTCATACTGTGCGGTTTCCTCCTGGTTACCCTAGGTGACCAAGAAGATAGTGCGGAGTGATGGTGGGGCATCGTCCCTTCCAAAGATAGCTAGAAAAGGCACTGTGGCCACATCCTGTCTGTCGTCTCTCTCTTTCCCTCTCATTGTGCTCTGAAGGTGTTAGGCTCCAGCTGGGGAAGCTGAGGGTCTCTGCCAAAAGCTAACACCATGCCCAGGCTTTTGAATAAACCACTGTGGAAGTGTGGATCCTCTGGCCTTAGCTGACCTTAAAACTACTTCAGCCACAGCTGGTGTTTTCACAGCAACCTCATGAGAAATGCTGAACCAGAACTTCACAACAATGCTCCTCCTAAATTCCTGCGCTGGAAAACCTGTGAGAAAATAAACATTCCTTGGCCCCTTATGTTCCAGGTTTTCATTCATTCATTCATACATTCATTCAAGAAGATTGGTCACTAAATGTCTAATGGAAGAGACAAAGCCACAAAAACCACACAACCACAAGATCACAGAAACAGTGTGATAAATGTGCTACGACAAATGGGAGGCAGGGAGAGAGCACTTTAGGCTAGAAAAGCAGAGATTGTCCCCTTCAGAAAGTAGCAGTAAGAACAAAAAACTGCAGCAAAGTTTTACACGGAGGGGAAAGTAATTCTGAGAGCTATACGTGAGAGTTTGGGGCATGAACAGATTCCCAGTAAATGTGACAGGTACAGAGGGCATGTCGCAAATACGCTCTCCAATCCTTACGTCACTCCCATGCAGCAGGTATTAAGACTCTTGTTTCAAACTCAGTGGCACAGTACCAGTCCAAGGACAAGTAACTACCACGTGGACGCTGAGGCCACATGCAGGGCCTCTCTCTGCTCTCTTCCCTTCCTGCTGTTCAAAGCGCTAACTGCTCTCCAGTTCCAAGTCTGTCTTCGTGCAGACTTTTCCAACTTCTGAATGATCTCTGGGTATATTCTGTATGCTTAGACCTGCCAAAAGGGCTTAATTCAAGTACTTTACCAGCTGCTCTTCACAAGAATAGCATCAATTCTCCATTAACATCTTCCTCTCTCCCCGCCAGCTCCTCCTGTTCTTGAAAACCTATCCTATGGCAGGGCGGTGGTGGTGCACACCTTTAATCCTAGCACTTAGGAGGCAGAGGCAGGAGGATCTCTGTGAGTTCGAGGCCAGCCTGGTCTACAAGAGCTAGTTCCAGGACAGGCTCCAAACTCTGTCTCGAAAAACCAAAAGAAGAAAGAAAGAAAATCTATCCTCCCTCATTTCTTCTTCAGACCACAGATACATTTTTTTAATGGTTAAACCTAGGGCCTTAGGCATGCCGGGCAAACACTATCACTGAGCTATATCTCCAGCCCTCCTTTTACTCTTTATTTTGAGATGGAGCATCCTAAGTTGCCCAGCCTTGCCTTGCTCACTCGAGCTCACACAGAAGCTCCTGCCTTGGCCTCCTGTGTAGCTGGGACTTCAGGTCTGTGCCACTGGGGCTGGCTCTCCTCACCACTTCACACTGTGTGAGTGTGTATGTACGCATGGACATGTATAAGTATGGGAATGGAGGTCAAAGGTCAAGACCAGGTGCCAATTGCTCGTTCAACTTATTTTCTGAGACAGGGTCTCTCACTGGGTCTGGTGTTCAGTGAATCAGCCACTAAACTTCAAGGATCCTCCTGACTCCTCATTCCAGAACTAAAATTACAGGTGCACACAACAGCTTTCTCCATGGGTACTGGAGATCCAAACCCAGCCCTCACACTTGAGTGGCAGGGCTAAGAATGAGACATCATTCCAGTCCCTGCTTCACTTCTGAGCATTTGTTGCAGAGTTCTGCTTTCTCTTTGTTTACTCAGGCTTTTGCAATTTTCCTTCAGCTCAGCAATGATTAAAGCTCTGATTCCAAGGTCAACAGAAAAGTCTTAAGTTTACCATTTCCTCCTTGAAATCCTATTATTGTCTTTGCTGCGCCCTCTGGGAGCTCTCCCATACATTCGATCATATCCAGTTGTTGGTTGGGTCTTTCCAGCTACCAGAGCCCTAGCGTCCCACACTTGTATCCCGGGCGGGGCGGTGGTGGTGCACACCTTTAATCCCAGCACTTGGGAGGCAGAGGCAGGTGGATCTCTGTGAGTTCAAGGCCAGCCTGGGACACAAGAGCTAGTTCCAGGACAGGTTCTAAAACTACGGCAAACCTTGTCTGGGGGAGGGGAGGAGAATGTAAGGTTCTGTCCTTATAGTGGACAAGAAAATGAAGATTAAGCTGTGCTATCTTAGCCTGTCTGTGCACGCCTTTAATTCCAGCACTGGGCAGGCAGAGTCAGGCACACCTCTGTGAGTTCAAGGACAGCCTGGTCTGTGGGAGAGTTCCCGGACAGTCAGGGCAACACAGTGAGAACCTGTCTCAAAAGGGTGGGGGTGGGGGGAGGATGTGTTGTCTTAGCACTCCATATCTAGACTAGGCTGCCTTCTGAGTGCTAGGATTAATAAAGTTATGAACCAAACCTGTCTTTGATCCCGTGATTAAAGATGACAACATCAGCTGGCAATGTCTAACGGTTAAACTGGCCTAAAAGATTCTATACTATTTTCCCACCAAAGCATGCATTTTCCACCTCTAACAAGGTAACGCAGGAGGTAAGGAACATACACACCTATCCAAATGCTCCTCCCCTGCTTGAAATAAATCTATTGCCGCAATTTCTTGCCTTCTCTTTCCTCTAACCAACAAACGTATTCTTGTTTCAAAACACCCATGTTGCTACAATCACCACATATGTGTCTCCACCAAAGCAATTTTCTTAAAGATAGAAGATGAGGGGAACATGTTTTAAAACATAAAGAAAACTATACCTGGTAAACAATCCTTAAAAATTAAGCAGGAAGATAAATCTACCTGTCAACTACACACTTGTCAACCTATCTATTTTCTAGGCTGGCTACAGACTACAGAGGGCTTGCTTAATAAGCAACGGAAGGAGATACATTTTTGTTTTAATTATATACCAGCTTCAGTTCTATATAGACAGGCACAGACATCAGAGCTCATTCTAAAACTTCTAGAGAGTCCAAGGATAGAAGAGGGCAGAAGTCAAAGAGAGAAAAACGAATTCCCTCTTTTCAACAGAGCAGCTCAGTCTCTGTCTGCAATCAAGGACGGGCCAGCCCAGGGTCACTTCCCTCTCCAGTGGCCTGAGAGCGGAAACACAAAGCCAGGTCAATGTCACTCCAGGGACTGCGGGGTCCCTGGACAACTCAGCATCCTGGACTCGGTGTCTGCCCACAGCCGACGCAATCTACAGGGCGGGCTAGACACGACTTGAGCCGCCACCCGCAGGGCTATCCGCCACACCGCATTTCAGCATCCCGATCTGTGAGCCTCCAGAGCTCCACGCCCAAACCTGCCCTGGGTGCGAGCCCCAAAGCCCAGGCCGACAGGCCAGTCTGCTGCCTCCCAGCCGCTGCTCCCGGCCGCGCCACCCTCCCCTCCCGGTTTCGCCCGCCTCTCACGGCGCTCGGGCGGGCCCATCCGGGCGGCGGTTCGCAGCTCAGCTCCGTCGCAGAAGGCGGGCAGGTGACATCTACACACAGGGACTGCCAGAGGCAGAGACTGAAGGGAGTTGAGTCTCCAGAAGCCGGGATGACGAGCTTCAGCTTTCTGACAGCAAAGGCACCCGCTTCCTCTCCGCCACGCCGCCCAATCACAGCGTTCCGCCGTCACTTCCGCCCTAGAAGGTAGGGGGAACGCCGGGCGGAAGAAACTACCAACCGGACCGGAAGGGGCGGGTCCGAGGGCGGTGCTGCCTGCTGTAGCCTCGTGGAGGTAAGTGTTGCTGGCTGGTTGAAGATTGCGGGGAGCGGTTCCCTACGCTGTGGTGCTCTGGATGGGCGGACGCAGTGGAGGGCTCCGTGCTGTGCGCACCAGGGTGGCCGGGGGGGGAGTCCTGTGTCCGCGGGGGAGTCCTGTGTCCGCGGCCGTTTGCACCACAGAACCCGGAGTCCGCCCACTGCTCCGGAGCTTGCGAGTGCGAGGCCGCCGGAACTGCCTTACTTTCCTGGGGTTGAGGGGTGGGGGGTGATATGCAATAGGAGAGTAGGTAAGGGAATTACGTGAGAATGACAAGGTCGGAGGAAGGGAAACGAGAAGTTATTTGAAAAATACGCGGCTGGTTAAAGTAACTGGCTCCCTGTGGATCCTGCATTTGGCTAACAGCTTAGCCCTTTATAACCCTGGGCGGTGCATTTGAAAAGGGTAAGTTGAGGGCTTCTACGACTTCGAAGGAAAAACACGGAAGTGAAGTGCTAGGTAGCAAACTGTGGAGCAACTCAGTGATGACAATCTGGGAATAAAAGTGCTGCGCAGAGAAAAACGGATGCTCTTCAGGGAAACAGTCAAAGGAGATGACAGACATAGAGACGTGTTTAGCATGGTGATTAGCAGCAAAAAATATGAAGTTAGGTTGGCTATAATGGAGCATGGCTTTGGCGCTTCCTGGTTGATTTTGAGCTACTTGTTCAGCATCCTTGTCTGTAAAATGGATAAGAATAATTGTCTCTTCTGTTACTTCTGTTATCGAAGAGAATTTTTGTGACACATTTTCAATGTACTAGACACTTACTGTTTTGCTTCTGCTAATGAAGGTACTGCATGTTGTTAAAGAACTGCATGTGTTTTGCCCAATAAATCATTTACTGTACTTCTGGAGCTCTAGCCTTGCCACTATCTTTTTTTTTTTTTAATGAGTCAAAGATTACTAGAAACTCTAAAACCTTAAAGTAAAATGAGATGAGGGATTTAGGAAGTAAGGTAGTCCTGTAAGGTACTCGAGAGGGGGTGCTCTATAGATGCTTGGAACTCTTCATAGACATAGATACATGGACCTAGATATAGAGATGTGGGAGTCCCCGAGCCCCAGCGTGCTGTATGCGTTCTCCACTGATAATACTCCAGAAGGGTATCTAATGGGCAAGTTCAGTTAAACTGGAGGAATAAGAATAAATGCAGAATTGATTTTTTTTTTTTGAGCTAGGGTGACAGTCATATGTAGCCAAAGCTGTCCCTGGACTTCTTATGGAGCTGCTGAGATTAAAGGTGTGCACTACCGCAGATGGCCCATTTAGCACTGGCGGTCGAACCCAGGAACTCTATAGTATGCTAGGCAAGCTGAGCTGTATTCTTAGCCCTTTGTCTTTATTGGCTTAATCTCGGTTCTCGTGAGAAGAAAGTGAAGCTGGATTTACGGTCATCTTTGATGCAACCATTCAGCCTAAGCAGACTGGTTTCAGTGTCAGAATTTTGATAGCGGTTGGCAGGGCAAAAGCGAGTTGTGTGGCTGCCTTGAAGCTTTCGTGTTACGTGTTAGAGAGGTGATTGTGACAGTAGAAACTCAGTGTAAACAAAGGAAGGTGTTGCCACTCTTAGGGGCCTGGGGCATCTGAAGTCCTTGACATGACTGTTCACATCAGCGGGCCACGGTTCACCCAGGACTTCCTCTGTTCTACACACAGGTTCTGTCAGAATTTGGAGTTCATGGAGTCCAGCTAGGCTGACCCTGAGCTCCTGGGATCTGTATCTCCGCCTTCTGATTGCTGGGATCATATACACATTTCTCTGTGCCTGGCTTTTTGTATCGGTACTAGAGATCATACTTGTATAGCAAGTACTTTACCATGAACCAAGTTATTATATGCTTTTGACCACATGAGATGGTTTCTGTTTGTTAGCCTTCCAGAACCAATGTACTGCAAAAACTGAATTTTGTTTGTATTCACAGATTACCTTCCCGGTGGCTTCAGACGCCTTAACATGGGGCTTACCAAACAGTATCTCAGATATGTGCCTAGTGCTGTCTTTGGCTTGATTGGCAGCCAAAAAGGTAACATTGTGTTTGTGACACTTCGTGGGGAGAAAGGACGCTATGTGGCAGTGCCCGCCTGCGAACACGTTTTTATCTGGGACTTGAGGAAAGGCGAGAAGGTGAGTCCGAAATGAGGAAGTTGACACTGACTTTGGTTGGGAAGAGGCCTGACTGACCTGCCCGCATTAATTTGTGTGAGAGCCCTCAAGTGATCATGTCCGTTTGCTTCTAGATAGCTAGCACCAAACTCTGCTGGATTCTGAGAATCTCAGCCCAACAGCTTGCTTCTTAGCTGTCGTCTGTGTTAATTGTCATAGGCCATTATTGTAGCTCTTACTCACTTCTGCTTTTGTTTACAAATTCTACTTTTCAAGTTCTGCTTGTGTGCACAGCCAGTCGTATAATATTAGGATTTCAAAAGGACTGTTATTCCACTGTGTGAGTAGAGTACAGAACTCTGCTTTGACTGTGACTGAGGTTGTTCCTTTTCGCTAAGTACATGGAGGTAGGTATTTGATTCATCCCTGTTTACTGTGTGACTCCTAAGAGGTGAGAGGATGGATAGATTAAGTAGGTAGGTAGGTAGGAGGATGGATAGATTAGGTAGGTAGGGAGATAGATAGATAGATAGATAGATACATACATACATACATACATACTTGTTGCTACCCAGATAGGTACGTAGGTAGGTAGGTAGGTAGGTAGGTAGATAGATAGATAGGTAGGTAGATAGATATAGCTAGATAGGTGTTGCTACCCAGATAGATAGATACAGACAGACAGCAGACAGACACGCACACTTGTTGCTACCCTTAGCCTCTTGGGATGAAACCACTAGTGCTATAGTGCCATGAGGTTATGTTAAAGCCAGGCTGGGTTTATAGCCCTTTATGAAAATACACTAAAAGTTTGGTGACTTATTTCATTGTCTGCATAGTTTGCATGTATCTACCAATGTCAAGCTTGAGAGTAAATGGATATCTTTTAAAGATCTCGTTGTCTCTGCTTGTAGATTTTATCATTGTGCATCCGTGACTGTAAACTGTTGGTACTCACTGTGTTACTGAAATCATGCCCACGCCGGTGTCTTCATGCATGCCTCACTCCTCTGCATTGGTTTTTATGATTTCAGATCCTTATCCTTCAGGGGCTTAAACAAGAAGTCACTTGCTTGTGTCCTTCCCCAGATGGACTGCATCTGGCTGTTGGCTACGAGGATGGGTCCATCCGAATCTTCAGTCTCCTCAGTGGTGAGGGAAACATAACCTTCAATGGACACAAAGCAGCTGTCACCAGCTTAAAGTACGATCAGCTGGGAGGCAGACTGGCTTCTGGGTCCAAGGTGAGCCTCGGAGACAGGTGTCACACTGTGTAGAAACAGGTCATTCATATCAACCACATGAACCTGGTGCACAAAGATAGTGCACAGTTGGGAGAAATAGAGTGAGGAAGATGGGTTTGCATGGGGGAGGGAGTATGCTTCTTATTTTCTGTTGTGTTTTCTGTGAAAAAAAAAAGTCTGAATAATGAAAGAATAAGACAGAGGTCCTCTGGAACCCATCATATTGTGGAAGAGCTACCCCAAACTATAAAACAGGGGACGGTGAAGGAAAGATGGTAATAATTGCCAGTGAATTCTGTAAAGTTAATATTATTCCTGTGTTTTTGAAAGTTAATGAGGTAGAGTCAGGCATTCTGGTGCTCACCTTTAATCCCAACAGCAAAAGATAGGGGCACCTACATCTCTGTCACTGAAGGGAAGGAAATTGGCTGTCATTTCCAGAAATGTGATAATACCCAGATACACAGGTGGGAAGCTGGTCTTCTCATGCATGTCTTTGGTAGTTGTATAGATAGATTCAGTGTAAGGACTGCTTTAATGATGTGAATCTAAACTGTAAAAATAACCATATCCTTTAACCAAGAACATCAGACTGTAGTGTTTATATGTACTAAGACAAATGTACAAGGATTTATGCATGTGAAATGATCCATATGTATAAAATATAAAATTTAAACTGTGATACTAGAAATTAGAGTACAGCTGATTTAACTATCAAAATGCATTAAATAAGAAGATGGTTATAAAGTAAGCACATAGCATGAATTCTGTTTTCCTCTTTATTTTGATATGTGTTTTTGATGTGGGGTCTTACTGGACTGTCCAGCTTTTCTCCCTCATAGGTGGGACTACAGGGGCCTGTTGCCGTACCTAAATGTTAGGAAGATAGCCCTGAAATCTCATGCATTTACAACTAGAACAATGTAAACCAAAGTTTTTGCTCGTTATTCCTCAGTGAAAGGGTAGGCTGCTGCCTAGCCTGCTTTCCTAGTTGTACAGGACAGTATATGGCCTCTGTCGCGATTGAGTCCCATTATTTATAGCCTTTGGCCTTTTGTGGTAAGAAGAATGTTTTTTTCTTATGTGTTACTTTATCCCTAAGGATACAGATGTTATTATCTGGGATGTGATCAATGAGAGTGGCCTCTACCGTCTCAAAGGACACAAGGATGCGGTCACACACGCTCTGTTCCTACGAGAAAGGAATCTGCTAGTTACAAGGTAAAGACGATGAATTTCAGAGTTTTGAAGAGTTGGCCTCGCTGCTTGTTGCTCCCTGCTGTGCTCATGCAAGTGTGTCGTGTGCTTCCTCTCGGGCTGCCAGCTTTCCCCCTTCTGCTTCTCAAATGCTGGAGTTTTGCCGTGAGTCACAGCATTTTGAAACTTTCTTTTCTGATTCTCTTGTCGAGTGGGTGTTTGTTTTCTAGATCTCTCGAAGGCAGAATGCTAAGCTATGTGTTTAGTTCAGCCTGCCTTTTGAGGGAAAATGTG